AATTCCTCCCAACCAAACTCTAGAATTTTCGAGAAATTGCAATTCCTCTCTACTAAACATGCCATAAGGGAAAGAAATTCAAGTCGTTTAAACAAATAAGATTAAAAATTGTAATACATTTGAAAATTTTCACTTTCAATGGGCTAAAATTTCACTTTACATGTACAAATATTAACTGCATGTGTATGGTTAATGCTTCACTTCAAACAAGCTTAAATGACAGAAATGGTTGGGATTTGCTGCGGAGTGCCAAGTGCTAACAACATCAAAAGGCTAAAACTAATGAAAGAAAAAGGCAAAAATGGAGATTGCTTTCCAATTGCAGCAACTGGAACAAAGTTGGTGCTACCTCCATAAGATTGATTTGGACACAAGATGGTTACAGATGCACAGTTTCAAACTCTCATCCTCTTAGATGGGCCTTGATCGATGATGGGATCAACCGGAGGCGGCTGAGCCTCCGCTGGCTGGTTTTCTGATGCTTCTGCGGTTGAAGGGCGCGTATAACCATCTGGAAATGGAGGCGGCGGGGGAGCTGGTGGAAGCTGTAAAAGTAGAATAACTCAGTGTTAGAACTAAGAAACATTGGAATTGCTTCATTTTAGAAGTGTTGCTTCAACAGCATTTAGATATATCATCATCCTAAGAGTGGTTACAGTCAAGTAATAATGCAGAATTTCTCAATGAAAAGTGACCAAACTCCACTTTTCTTGTGTACTTAAAGAACTTAAGAATGAGTTCTTATTAGATATCAACTAAAATCATATGTAATTTAACTTTTGTTTCATCCAATACCAAGGCTTGTTGACTCATAAACGATAGGTAAATGCTGTAAAAGGACTAGGATTTCAAGGAATCATGCAAAATGGTGATCTTATAAATATGGTTTTTCGGCTATAATGTCCTACATAGAATCAGATAGGGATCTTTGAGTATATTAAGGTTACCTTGCGTTGTAGAGAAGCAAGAATATGATCTACTCGCTTAAGCTCCTTAAAATCAATAGTCTCTTTCGGAGCCTTTGACTCAGTATGCCCGCTCTCATTTTCAGCATCAACTGTGCAGTTACAGAGACAAGGAAAATATCACCAAAGGGTAAAAAATAAACCACGAATAAACAGAGAAAATTCATCATTTCCCCAAGTGTTCTCTTTGAAATTACTCATGTTTTCATCATTATTCATGCTTCTCATTAGAAACACGATGTAACTTATACATATCAAAGTCTACTAACTATGATTCCTTGAGAATAACAAATTTTTTATGGACATGAAAAAAATTAAAAGGTAAAATATCAAGAGCGAAAGAAGAAAAAGGTTGGTTGTCCGGCACTTCTTTCTGGCTTTTTAAAAATAAATGTATCGATTGCAATTTGATGGCAATAAAGGTTCATGATGCCTTCTATCACCCAAGCAAAAGAAACATGAATGAACAGTTAAGGGCATTTTTTTACGAAGCTTATCCAAAAGTCATTAAGACAATAAGACTTGGAGAAATAAACTCAACTAAGCCTCCATGTCAAACTATTTTACATGCAGGCAGGATTGTATGTTCACATTATGATCGTACTTGAAACTAGGACCCCTCAGTGAATACACAATATGCTATACTCTTACTCTGTAATGTGATAAATAACACAAGAATTTCAAAACATGTTTTTATGTATTTTCCTCTATAGGTCATCAAAATGATATCAAGTGCATCAAATGAAAGCAATAAAGGGAAAAATAAAGAATAAAAAAAGGAAATGAAAGAATATCAAAATACCGTATCCAATCTTTTCCAACTTCGTAGCAGCAAAAGTAAAAGCTTTTGATATGTGAAATAAAGCCCGCCCCTTGCAAAAATTAAAAATCACAACAAAGTAAGTTTCAAGATGAAGAACAGTGAATAAATTGTGTCCAGTAATCTCCTAATGTTCACATCAATGCATATTAGTCTTACAGAATACAACCATTATGATATAGAATAGAGCTCTGCAATCAGTAAATCTCTCAATAATCTCAATATAATCAGTGCTGTAAAATTCAGCCAAGGCGCCCCTAGGCCGAGGGGATTTCAGCCCTAGGCGGCTTTTAGTCAGCCAGCTAGGCGCCCAACTCAGCTGACTCGGAGCCCCAACTTGGCCGAGTGTTTTTTTTTTTTTAATTGAGAATTTAAAAATAGTGAATCCCTAAATGGCTAAAACCAAAAAATATATAAATAAACAGTCTAACATATGTAGTTGACTAGTTTGGGGGACTATAAGCATCTAACAATAATGCCCACTGCCTTTATATATATATATATATATATACACACACACACACACACACATATATAAAATTACTCGGCCAGCCTAGGCGCCCCCGGGCACCCGACTAGCGCCTAACGCCTTCTACAACATTGAATATAATAGAATGCTATTTAAAGGCGAATTAGTTCCACTTTTGGTTCCACAACTATAGTGGCTTCATGAGATCGATGGGAACTTCATGAGATTGGAGGAATATGAGGAATACTGTGAAGTTACAATTTTAACCTCATCTCATACCGAGATTTCACAATTTGGCTGTCAGAGGACTAAAAGTGGCATTGCCACAATAGTTGTGTATCTAAAATGGTCAGGTTTAAAGTGGTGGACCAAAAGGGGTAAGAATGCCTGTTATGAGAGGAAAACGGGGTAAGGTTCGATTCTAATTTGAATCCTTCAGCCAGAAGGAATGAACATTATACTAACAACATTTCTAATAAGTTTCATATTATGCAAAAATGCCTGTTATGAGAGGAAAACGTCATGAAAAATTATCCTCTCAACACTTAAAATTACTTGGAACTTGAAGGAAGTAAAAGATTGATGCAAACCAATGCGCTTTATACTAAACGAACTTTCAGTAAATGCTTTAGACCAACTAAATCAAGCAATGACAGAACAAGTACTGACTAGTCGAGCTGCAAAGACATTGCAAAGCTGGGGAGCTTGGTAAATTGAACCATCCAAGACATAATATGTTAGCATCGGTGTAACTTTCTCAGGACTATCCCTCTTTTGCTTGCGGAAGACAAAAAGATGGGGCTCCATAACTTCGCTAAGCCAGTACTCATTGCCCGTCATTTTGCTGCAGTAGAAATGAGCAGAAATCAAATATATACATATATTGAAAGTTTGAAACCCAAAGTAAAAAAAGTATATGCATTATCACTCACAAGAATTTCCTACTATCAATTGTAATAACTCCCACGGGCAGACAATCAAGTTATGGAAGAGAATAAGGTAATTTACAGCCATGATATCTTCAGTAGCAGCAAAAGATTTAGCTAAGTGATCATAGAACCCTACATTCCCAATTTCCAAGTTTCTTCAACTATGCTATAACACAATTCACAAGTTAGAATTTTGACGGTAGGCCACTGTTTTCTATCTAGATTAAACCATAAATTTAAGATTATGGCTGTATTTGTGTAGACAGTGGAGGAAGAGAGAGCTTACGACAGTTGAGAGATATCGAGGGGGTGAATGGAGCGCATGCGGAGCTGTTCATTATTGCAGGTCCAGTCATAGAAAGGGGAAAGCGCGAAGTAATCGAACACCAAGTTTCTATCCAGCGGGTAGGTGTTCAGCCACAGCTGATCCCTGAAGCATATCCCGGTCATATCCGTCCCAGGCGGCTGCGGCGGCGCCGGTACGCCTCCATCTAAATTCGGATTCCCCATCGCCGCGTTAGGCGGAACCATCGGCGTATTCGCCATTGTAGATACGCGTTTCCTTTAACCGAGGTTATAACAGTTGGAGTGAATTTCAGCAGTGATTGTTGATTGCCTCTTGTATTAATTTATTCGGTGAACGCTCGCAACGGTGTTTCAACGGTTATTCGCCGGATAATTTGTAACCCAGTTAGCCTGAAACTCCCGGCGATTGAAACATAATCACTTTTTCATTTTCCTTTGTGTCTGTAGCTTCTGCTGCTTATGCCATGGCTGCAGATCTGATACTGTTACCAAATACCAAAGAGGAGACGAAGGCCGTGCGTTTGTATATGCTTAAGGTTCTATCTTTAATAAAACTAGAATATCAAAAAAAAAAAAAAACAAAAAAAAAAAAAAAAAACACTTTGGGCCTCTTGTTGAGATATCGGAAGAAGATAATTGGGCTCGATTATTGATCTTTTGGGCTCTATATTTTTATATTTGTTTGAAATGATGAAATTTTATTGTCACAAAGTTATCAAAAATCACAGTCACTATTTAAATGTGTGTCTAAAATAAATAGATCTTGTGATCCAAGCAGGTAAAGGAACACTTTGACCCTAATTGGATCAACATAGGTTGCACATAGCTAACTGGTTCAAGTTTAAGGGTGCGTATGGAGTAAACATTGTGTTGTGTTTGTGATCTTAGCTATTAAAGGATCACATTGATCCTAGCCAACAAAAGAACACAAAGAGGTAAACCACCATAAGTTGCTCATAGTTAACTGATTCGAATTTAAGGGTGTGCACGAAATAAATTCAATTTTGTGGCCCTAGGCTCCTAACTAGCAAATGAACATCCTGACTCTAGTCGTCAAAGGAACACAAAAATTGAAGTAAACCAATGTAAATTACCTATTATTGACAGACTCAAATCATAAGGCCAATAGAATATTTTCACCATAAATTAAACTTAAAATCTTATGATTATTAAATTAATAGGCTAATCACTTGAATGGGTTGTACAACTATTACATTAATTAAAGTCTTATATACCTCGGTGAACCAAATACAAAATTACTTGAATGGGTTGTACAACTATTACATTAATTAAAGAAGTCTTATATACCTCGGTGAACCAAATACAAAATTACAATTGTGTGACATTACATATCATTATTAACATCATCCTAACAAGTAAACCATGATCACTAAATATTGTAGGATAACATTTACTTGTCCTCTGAACCGGAGTATGTATTACGTGATTATATGACGTTAGCAATATTTAGAATTGAGGCCTGTGGAATTGAAATTTGGCCTCTTCTCCTCCATCCCCACACCCACTCTCTAGCCTCAGCATTTTCCTCCACAAAACAAAACTTTGGTGCCTAAACTTGCATCTTTTTCACCAAATAATTCTGTCAAAATCACTTTTGCTGGAAAATTTAATTTCTTCATCATCATTTCCCCCTAGCAATTTCAATTTTCCAGTCTCCCAATCCAAAGTTCTTGATTTCATTCCTATTCCGGGCTTGTTTGCATATATCAACGTAACCTTAGCTTCTTCCGAGGAAACTAACGTACGAGGAATATAATCGGTGCGTTCGTACGTGCATGCATGGCTTCATGATGCAGAGACGGCCATTAAACTTGTGCAATTTCTGGCGTCGATCGGTTCTGTTTATTCGTCCATGTTTGGTTCATATATGCGTGTGATGAAAGGGGGGAAACCTTAAAGATCCATAAAAATGGCGGATAGTAAATTGGGCGGAGACGATGCGATTACGAGCAAAAACCCTCAGAGCAGCGTGACGTGCGTGTACCAAACGCACATCGGCGGCTACTGGCGGAACGTGACGGTGATATGGAACAAGAACATGATGAACCACAGCCTGATCATAACGGTGGACAGCGTGGAAAGCGACGACCACGCCACCTGCAAAATCGACCTAAAACCTTGGCATTTCTGGGCGAAGAAGGGGTACAAGACGTTCGAGGTGGACGGGTACCAGCTGGAGACGTACTGGGATCTCCGGTCCGCGAAATTCGCCGGCGGCCCGGAGCCGGGCGGGGATTTCTACGTGGCGCTGGTGTCGGAGGAGGAGGTGGTGATGCTGTTAGGGGACTACAAGAAAAAGGCCTTCAAGAGAACCAAGGCGCGGCCGGCGCTGGTGGAGGCGGTGCAGTTTTACAAGAAAGAACACGTCTCCGGGAAGAAGAGTTTCTCGACGCGGGCGAAACTGGACCACAGAATGAAGGAGAGCGAGATCGTGGTGGAGAGCTCCACGACGGGGCCGAAGGAGCCGGAGATGTGGATCAGCATCGACGGGATTGTGCTCATTCACGTCAAGAATCTGCAGTGGAAATTCCGGGGGAACCAGACCGTGCTGGTTAACAAGCTGCCGGTTCAGGTGTTCTGGGACGTGCATAATTGGCTGTTTTGCCTGCCGGGGGTGCCGGATCACGGGCTGTTTATATTCAAGCCGGAGGGGGCGACGGACGGGGAGAGTGACGCCGAGGAGACCTGCAGCGCCGGCGGCGACAGCGAGTGCAGCACGGATAGCAGGTATTACTCCGCGCAGAGCCACGCCTCCGCCACGCCGTTTTGCCTTTTCTTGTATGCGTGGAAGCTTGAGTGATCTGAGGGAGGGAGATCATCGGAAATTTGTGGGTACATCTTGATCTATCCGTAGTACAATTTTCCGGCGACCGCCGGTTTTTTTGAACTTAAGCCTCCAAATTCTTCTCAATTTGTAAATCATGTATATATTCTTCATAATTTTATAGACAAATCTTCATAATTTTATCACGTAACATCCACAATCAAAATACTAAAATTTAAAATTTCTCATAAAAAAATAAAGAGATCATGAAATGGGATGGAAGACTAATCACTATATAAGTAAAACATAATTTTGGTATATATTAGAAATCATGAGTTTAATTCTTACTAATGTGCATTGCACATATTTTAATGTTAAAATAATTGTTGACTTTGACATTATACGAGGGAATTAATGTTTGAATTGTTTATCATGGTGGTTTTATATATAATAACATATGGAATAATGTTCCGGCCAGGTGTACTCAACAAAAAAATGTTCCGGCCAGGTAGACTCTTGCCGGCCGGCTATTATCCTAGTCCCAATATCCCTATGACTACACTAAGTCGACGATCCATTCATTAATCAACGCCGATAAAGACGGGAAGGATGTTCATCCAGACCTATTAGCAATTAAGGATTATAAAATGTGGGCAACTAAGTATTATAAAATTGCTCCCAACAGGTAGTCGAGTTGAGGGAGCAATATTTTCATATCTAAATGACTAGTGCAATGGACTGCGAGGTCTTCCTAACACATTATATACCTTCATGTGTGATTTCCAAGATATTACACATAATGGAGTCACCCCAAAAAGTCTTCCTTGTACAATTTACCTCTCGTGTATAGTAGATCAATATTTATTTAATGTACGCCATTGGATATTGACTATATATACTTGAGTTCTCTACCTCACCCAAAAAAAAAAAAAAGTCATAAAATTTCATTCTCAAATATAATATTTGTTGTTGTTTTATCATATATAACTGGCACTATTATTGGACAATGCTGCAAGATAAGTATTTCTTTTAGTTTCCTCATAATTTCCACAAGTTGACTATGGTTGTCGTGTATATATATATATTATATTAATCTCAAATATTCTATATTATAGTTTATATTGTACCAGGTTGTAATTTGTAAACAAAAATTTAAGAGAATGAGATGTGGCAGATTGCTTCTTCTTTTTCTTTTACAAAAAAAAAAGTGCAATCACTATTTGAGAATGTGCACTAATACTCGGTTTATAATAACACTCAGCTCGCATTAAGAATTAAGAAAAATTTGACTAAAAAGATATTGACAAAAATGAAATCCGTGCCTTTATAAGAGAATTATACTTCACATACATACCTAGCTATCCTGTGTCAAAACATTATTAATTAGTTATTTTTGTCTTATACGAAGCACTAATAAAATACAAAAATACAAATATTTAGTTCGTGCAAGTTCATCATGTACACCACTCCTTTGAAGAACATTTAAGTATAGGCCGCCAGATCACAAAGAAAACACCATTCTCCACTATATATGCATTTAGCCAAGATTCAATAATTCTTAAAATTCACGACTTGGGTTAGTTTCCAATGATGTTGAAAATAATACTCCTGTTTGCGGCGTTCCTAGCTGCTCTTGCTGTTCTTGTCCACTCCCAAGATGATCAATCAGGTTTGTATAATTGAGTCATTCAAAATCATATTTCTTAAGAATTTGGAGTGTTATATTTTCTTGTTTTCTATGGCTTCTGATCTCTCCAGGCTTCGTAAGCATCGACTGTGGACTCCCGGAAGGCTCCAATTACACTGATCCGATTACCGGAATACGTTACGTCTCCGACGCCGGCTTCGCCGACTCCGGCACCGTCAACAACATATCCTCCTCGTACGTCACCGGCGATCTCATTCGCCAGTTCCTCACCGTCAGAAGCTTCCCGGAAGGACCAAGAAACTGCTACACCGTTCGACCTCCCAAGTCGAAATTCCGAACCAAATACTTAATCAGGGCGAGGTTCTTGTACGGAAACTACGACGGCCAAAACCAGGTTCCGACGTTTGACCTCCACCTCGGAGCTGATCGCTGGAAAACCATCACTCTGGAAGATGCATCAACCCCGCACTCCACGGAGATGATACATGTGATGTCGTCGGATTTTCTGCACGTCTGTCTTGTTAACACCGGCGCCGGAACGCCGTTCATTTCTGCGCTGGAGCTCAGGCTGCTCAACGAGGATGGGCTTTTCGCTATGTACCCGACGGTGAACGGATCGCTGCAACTTTACGGCCGCATTGATCTTGGCTCCACATCCAATCAATTTATTAGGTAGTATATAACCACTGCTTCAATTTGGTATCAGAGCCAGATCAAAGGTCATGAGTTTGAATCTTGCGTCACGACTACGGTGACAGAATAAAATTTTAGTTAATTAAGTTCAATTATTACCAGATTTAACGGAACGAATTGAACACCGTATGTAGGTATAAAGACGACAGATGGGATCGGATATGGAAGCCATTTACCTTTGACGGAATGAGGATACTAAACAATACCTCTGCAAAAATCAAATACGACGGATTTGATCCCTACATAGTACCGGAGAAAGTGATGAAGACGGCGGGGGAGATAGTAGAAAGCAACAGCAGTCTGCCGGCGTTCTTCTGGAAACCAGACAACTTCGACGATGAGTTTTACATGTACATGCACTTTGCAGAACTTCAACAGCTGCCCAAAAACCAGATCCGACAATTCAACATATATCTCAACGATAATCTCTGGTTCGGGAATTACAGTCCCAGGTATCTACGACCCGGCACTGTTTTCAGCGACAAACCTGAGAATCAATCCTTCAGGTACAACGTTGTTTTGAACAGAACCGGGAATTCTACTCTTCCGCCGATCATCAACGCAGTTGAGGTGTACAAAGTCACATATATTTTGCTCAATCAAACAGCTGACCAAGATGGTAAGCCTTTAACTTTTTAGTTGATACAAAACACTGTCTTTAATTTTACCTTTTTAGTTGATACGAAACATGTCTTTCAATATCAGTGACGGCTATAAGGTACATCAAATCGATCTATGGAGTGACGAAAAACTGGCAAGGAGATCCATGTTATCCCCAAGAATACTCATGGATCGGTCTCAACTGCAGCTATGATGGCAACAATTCTCCCAGGATAATATCCTTGTAATTAAGCCTTTAATTAATTTTCTGGGAATTGAGATTCTATGATGCCGATATATATGTTCACAATTATTTATGATGCTTAATTAATCTGCAGGAACCTGGCCTCGAGTGGGTTGACAGGGGAGATATCTCCCTATTTATCCAGTCTTTCCTCGTTACAACTTCTGTAAGCTCGAAGCTAACTGTTAATACAATCTTCTACCCATGTTTAATTTTCCATTTTTAATGATTTTTTTACTGGATTTTCATTCAGGGATTTGTCGAACAATGATTTGACAGGGAAGATACCTGGTTTTCTTGCACAGTTACCCTCCCTGAGAGTGCTGTAAGTCATCACTTAGATATATGAATGTATGAAGAGTAATGAATTATATTGCGTTTAACTAGATGCAGTTGACATGACTGTACTTTACTTCTCCAGAAACTTGAAGGGGAACAATTTCACCGGTCCGATCCCGCCGGAACTCATAGCCAAGGCCAAAACCGGTTCACTGTTGTTGAGCTTTGATCAAAGTGACGGCAAAGACGATATAAGTGTTTGTCAGTCCGGTCCATGCAATAATAATAATAATAATAATAATGGCGACGGCAAAGAGAAGAAGAAACACAATAAGTTCGTTGTTCCTGTGGCTGCATCAGTTTCTTTTGTTCTGCTTGTACTAATATCAACCTTGTTCATCATGAGAAGAGGAAGCAAGCAAAAAGGTATGCGGTATAATAGAACCATAAGATTCTTTTTTTTTTTTGGTAAGGAGAAATTTCCCGTCACTATTGAATAATGTAGACAGGATCAAACCACAAAAAAATCAATAAACTGTCCACATTGAGAGTCAGTACAGTCAAACTTGTAACATGTTACAAAGTCAACAACCTAACCTTTCGACCATTTAGAAAATACTAAACTCTTAAAAATTGGTCACATGATTGACCCAGGACACAGGAAGGTTGGGAATGGAAGTGTGACAGTTCCGGCAAGTAGTGAGGCGGCGGCTGTGAAGATAGAATTGAGAAACCGGCAGTTTACATATTCTGAAATCCTCCGAATGACAAATAATTTCGAGACAGTCATTGGGAAAGGAGGGTTTGGAACGGTTTACCTCGGTTTCACAGAAGATCGTCGAGTGGCTGTTAAAATGTTATCTCCATCTTCTGTTCAGGGTTACAAAGAATTCCAGGCTGAGGTGAGTATCAATAAGTTTTCTTAATTGGTTTAAACTGCTGATTCGATCTCTTTGTGGTCCTTTACTAGTTACATTAGGACATATATGATCGATGATGTTTAATTTTAATATAATGTTGTATGAATTGCTGCATGCAGGCCAGTCTTCTAATGAATGTTCATCACAAAAACCTCACCTCTCTTGTTGGGTATTGCATTGAGGGAACCAATCTAGGAATCGTTTATGAGTACATGGCCAATGGAAGCTTAGACAAACATTTGTCAGGTATACATATATACATATACATGAAAAGTAACTATCCCTCCGATCCATAACTGACAGAGATTATCGAAAATTTTCAATTTTTTGGATCAAAATTTGAATTTGTACTTGTTAATCTCTGCAATGCAGGTAAAACCCCACATGTTTTGACATGGGAAGACCGCATTAGAATTGCATCGGATGCAGCAGAAGGTATACAAACTACTCCACCAATCTCCATATATAGTCAGAAATAGTGACTTTGTAGTTAAAGTGGTTGGTATTAAGCATACAATATATAAATTAAACATATGTAAATATTAGTATAACTATAGATTTTTAGTTAAGACAAAACACATATTTCAATTATTAGAAGATTGGTCAGAAAGGTCATTTTTACTATTTTAAATGAGTAGTTAAAATTAGCAACCCAAGGTTTTCTTTTATTATCAAAACCCTAGATTTTGGATAGTCAAAACTTTCTAGTTCTCTAGTTGTGTATATATATATATATATATATATATATATATATATATATATATACACATACTTATTTGTGCATGAGATATATGCCTTGAATTGTATGTATATTATATTGTAGGGTTGGAATACCTACATCATGGTTGCAAGCCACCAATTGTGCATAGGGATATCAAGACCACAAATATTTTACTAGATGACACATTGCAAGCCAAATTATCCGATCTGGGCTTGTCTAGGGTTTTTCCCGCAGAAGGTGGAACTCACGTAACAACTATCGTTGCAGGAACTCCTGGGTATCTCGATCCCGAGTACGTGACACTCTTATTTCACATGCGGCATTAATTAATAGTCTTCAAGATGTAATTGATCGAATTTTGTAATGTGTTTTAATTTATAGGTATTACACGACGAATAGGTTAACGGAGAAGAGTGACGTGTATAGTTTCGGAGTTGTGCTTTTGGAGATCATAACAGGTAGAAATCCATTAGGAGAAAGCGACAATATCTATGTGGTTAAGTGGGTTACTACAATGTTGGAAGACAATGGAGATATTGCAAGTATCGTGGATCCAAGGTTAGTCGAAAACTTCGACATTAATTCTGCATGGAAAGTGGTTGAATTAGGAATGGCGTGCGTAGAACATGATTCAGCAAATAGGCCAACCATGGCTTCGGTGGCATCTGAGCTAAAGATGTGTTTAATGGAGATCACTACTAGCCGTAGCGACCAGCCGACGGTAGAAAGAAATGACGACTCAATGCCTCTTAATGTGGAAAGTGATTTATACCCCAGTGCATGTTAGATAGCTATTTGCATGTACTTATAATCGAGTTATCAAATGTGGAATAAACTCGTGTTTGAATATTTGTGAGTTGTGATGTATGTTCATCAATGCGAACTTCATATTTCAAGTTATCTCAATCTCAATGGTACTAGACGTACTCTTTTTATATATATGAAAACTTAATTTTTGTACAAGGACTTAATTGAAATGATTATGGTTGATTTGAGTCGGTTTGTGATTTTTTTTTTGCCAGAACTATAAGGTGATTTAATTTCACCCAAATCTATCACACCAAATTTATAGAATAAAATCTTTCATACTATATATATCTGGTTATAAAAAGAAGAGTCCAGCCTTATCAAAATTCCTACCATCCACTTTGCACGGAAACAATCTATCTCTAACTTTTGGATGAGACTCCCCATCAACATATATAAGATCGATGCATAATTTTACACGTGCCCATTTCAACAGCAAAGTGAAAGAATCATGACACCATATATAATAGAATCAAAGAATATCGTTAATTATTATTACTTGGTATATAGTAATGTTAAGAATGAAAGCTACGACATGAATGCATATGTTGTCAAAAATGAATCGGAGTTGACCGGAAACTATAATCACGGACCACTTCATAATCTAACGAGGAAGGTAAAAACAAGAATTTTAATTACATGGAAGAGAAGGGAGAGGCGAGAGAGAGGGAAACGGAAGGGGTTGGCGTCTCTCTTAAAAATGTAATCTTTAACAGATTTTTCGTTAAAAGATTGGCAGAATTTAATAATGTCTGCACATGTGGCCGTAAGCTATCCCACTTGTTCGGCAACTGTTCCTAAAGGGAGAGAGAGAGAGAGAGGACGACTCGTTGTTTGTGTTTTTTCACCAAATTTTCTATTGCCGTTTTCTCCTGTCACTCCTTTCATTTGTTTGGCCATAGAACCTCCACGGCTTCAAACGTTGTTTGCTCTATCGTGTTTGGACCCCACATTGCTCTGTTGTTTTATTCTCCTTCTCTTCTATTTGTTGAAATGTGATCCTCTCCAGTCTCCCCAGATTCCCCTCTATCAAATCACTCAACCCTGGCCTAAAAGAAAATATCCGGAAGGAAAAGAACAGAATAGTGCGTGCTTACTATCTTTTTCACCTCCTGGGTTATGATATTTATGTTTCTTGTGTTGTGTTTTGCTAGAAAGGTTTGATCTTTTTGAGGTGGCGCATTCTGGGTGTTGGGGCATTTGATTGTTGTGTTAGCTGTGGTTGATGCTTGGCATTCTTGAAAGCTCAAATTCTGGGAATGTGGTGGTGGAATTGAGAAAGGGGAAGATGAGAGGTGGGAAAGAAGAAGAGAAGAAGATGGATCCTATGTTTCCCAGGCTGCATATAAAGAATGCTGCAGAGAGAGGAGGGCCTAGGGCACCTCCAAGGAACAAAATGGCTCTTAGTGAACAGCCTGCAGTTTCCCTACCACCCCAGAGGCTCAATCCTGACCTTCCATCAATCTCAATGCTGCCTCTCCCTCCTGCCAATTCCCCTACTTCCATCCCTGGACCATCTTCCAGTAATGTGAGTCCAACATTAGATGTTTTCTTTGTTGTCTGATAATGAATCTCAATCTGTCTGTGTTGAAATGTTGTGCTTATATGTATGTGTTTCTTTTGATTCATAGTTATATATGGACTGTGGATGCTAAGTCTGATCTTGCACTTATAATGTTAAGCCAGCCAGCCATTATTCCCACCTAGGAATATAACATTGTCATCACCTAGGAGTCTGAAAACCAGATTAATTCTACATATGTTCTGCTGTATCAGTTAGATTGTCCTTAAACACCATGGTTTAGTTTAGTTGGAAAACAGTTTGTTTTTGGTTAAGTTCTCATATTTCTGATATGGCTATGAAAATTAGGGCTTCCTGATCTGCTTATTTGACATCTTAAAGTGATTGTAGGTCGGTTCTACTGAGAAAATGTTCCCTCCTTTCTGCTATCCGCCTGGCTCGTCTCACTGGACTGGGATATCTCATCCCTACTCTAGCGGCATTCATTTTGCAGCTGGTGAACCGAGTTTTGCAACGCCAAGAAATCCAGATGTAGCGCCAATGGCATCTCTGAATTATCAGTGTTTTAGCGTTAAAGGGCATTTGCCTAGCTCGGAGTGTATACCATTTCAGCCTTGCAATTTACCATACTCTAGTAATAGCTTTTCTGGTGTGAAGCTTGGAAATGGTGGTGATTTTAGTGTTCCAGCATTTCATCAAATAGGGAAACATGTAAATTGTGGGAATGTACAGCAAAACGGGGAGAAAGAAAAGGATACGTTCTCGAGCTCCAACTCTTATCAGAAGTTTCGTTGTAGTTCTGAGAAACAATCTAAAGATCGAGTTACAGAGAACCTCGATATGAGCCAAACAAGGAAGCACCACGCTTCTTTCGTACCATCATCTACTAGGGAGAAGTCTTTGATCAACGTAGATTCAAGTTCAGTAGCTAGAACTAGGAGTGGGGAGCCTGCACCCCAATCGAAGAACCAAAAAGAGAGATTATACAGTCTGGGAGATGATGATATAAACAGAATTCATAATTATAGTTCAGAGTTTCAAGATGAATGTAGGGTTCTGCAAGAGAACAAGAGCAATGGAGATGGTGAATATGAGAAGTCTGCTAAAAAGAGAAGTGCTTCCATGATGGAAGATCTTTCATGCTCTCGAAGACCAAATGGGATAGAATTTGTAAATAAATGCCCTGATGAACAGGACCATGGATCTTTTCAAAACGAGGAAACCTCGGATGCCTCTGCAGTAAACTCAACATCTATTGTAAATTTATCCCCCGCCGATATAGTAAGAATGCTAGGCCAAAAGCTATTCTGGAAAGCAAGGAGGACCATTCTGCAGTAAGTACCCTCCTTCAGTGTCTTAGTTTTGGCACATGTTCTATAATAATGTCTGTCTTAACTCCTGACATTCTATTTTCAGTCAGCAAAGGATGTTTGTGCTACAGATTTTTGAGCTGCACAGGTTGATAAAGGTACTAACTTCCAAACTGTTTGTAGATACATTGGTATTTCGTGTGGGGAAGAGGATCTAATACTTGCTAATATTCGAGCAGGTGCAGAGAATGGTTGCTCGTTCACCAGAGATATTATTCGAAGATAACTTGTATGTTTCGAAAAAGAATTTACTATCCAATAATGCTGAGGAATCTCCTACCCCAAAGACGATTATGGGGGATGGAGGAGCAGACAAAACAAACGAGAAAATGGTTCCTGTCTGCAATGATACTCCCAAGAATCCCGGGATGCCAGCATTGGCATCTCCTGGTGCTGAAGCAAAATCGGGGGCTTGGTGCTTCCAGCCCCCTCCTGGGAATCAGTGGCTAGTTCCTGTAAGATCACCTTCAGAAGGGCTCGTTTACAAACCGTATTCTGGTCCTTGTCCTCCACCGGGGGGGATATTGGCGCCTCTTTATGGCGGGGGTTGCAAGCCACTAAACCTGTCAGCTGTTGGTGGAAACTACCTGAACACACCTTATGGTACAGGAATTGGGATTTTCTCGACCCCTCCTGTTGGTCAGGCCTACTTCCAACCATATCCCATGCCCGTGATGAATCCCTCCGGCTCACCCTCAGCTATGGACCTGCTTGCACGAGCTAGTTCTAGTGCCTGGGAGATTGTCCCATCATCCAGAAGCCAGAAGAGCGGGATCGTATCAAATGGTGCTCAAAGTTTGCAGACAGACAGAGGAGGGAGTGACCTGCAAGGAAGCACTGCAAGTAGTCCTTCTGAGAGGGACGCGCTTTCCCTCTTCCCCACCACGCCAGCCACCGACGCCCCTCCACCCCAGAATCAGATCTCCGAGCAGCGGATTCAGGTGATCAAGGTTGTGCCTCACAACCCCAACACAGCACCAGAATCTGCAGCTCGAATCTTCAAGTCCATTCAAGAAGAAAGGAAACAACACTGACTTATATACCCTTTGCTTTAATTTGCAGTAAGACTAACCACCATTCTTGCTATTTACATTCCTGTAATCATGTTGTTCATCTTTCTTTTGATTATATATATACATACTGTTAAATGTAAATATATCATCTCTTTTGTGAAATGGCCAGTGCAGCAGCCATTGGTTTTATTCAATGTATTTGGTATCTTCTCTTTGTGTTGTGTATTATATCCCATTCAAGATTTTATCAAAGCTATTCTTTCCTTGTGATCTATAAAAGAGTATTCATCCTTTGTCATTTCCAACAAAAAAAAAGTGTGTAATTTATAACGAAAAACTTAAAAATTAATAGGAAAAAAGACTTATGCAACAACAACTCGATTAAAAAGGTATTAGCAAAAACTAAATTCGTGATTGACTACAAAAATTATGTCTCGAAACTAGCATGAGTGGTTGATCACCTGACTTCAAGTCACCGCGGGAGGCGGCAGGATGGGAGGGATTCAAATTCCACCTCAAATTATCATTGGAATGGGGCTCTTCACGTTGAAGTGAGTGCAGGTTGGGCTCCTTGTACGCACAGTAAAACGATAGATTAAGGCTTTGTTTGGTAATGTTCCTAAAATAAGCTAGTAGATTAAAATAAGATCTTATTTTGAAACGTTAGTGATAGTACTAATACACGTAGTCTAGTAGCAAGACCGATCGCCCTAACTCAGCGTCCGACCTGGTGGTGCTCGAGAGTCTCTGAATAGGTGCTTGTCTCTAGGTCGATCGAAAAAGTCCCCTGTGCCGTAATAAATGCGCATACTTATGCGAAGACGAGGGAGACACGAACCGGGCCACCGGCATGACGAGCACGTGTCTATATCTAAGCATCGAACTTCTGGCAACGCCTACCACTGACACGTAGGGTCTCACAAGGTTAACGCGCATGCTAGTAACGCAAGCAGACGGTGACGGTCAAGAAAAATACTAAGCGGGCAAGCGGTCGAAACCAATCGGATTAGGCAAAGGATCGCTCAACGGTTTGACACCGATTAGGCGTATAACCTATCAGTTAGGTAACGTTTAAAAAATAAGTTAATAGTTTCCTAACTTTTTTTTTCTATCTTTATCCTTATTATTTTAGATAAATGATATCCTTTGGCCCTTCTTCCAATTAAAACTATTTTGACATTTTCTCTTCTCCTATATTATTATTATTATTATTATTATTATTATTATTATTATTTCTGCAACATTGCATCCTGGAATACACATAAAATCACATAATTCCTTCCTGGTTGGAATATATATATTCTAACTCAATCGGGTGTTGTCTAGGTAAGAATTTACTAAAAAAAATTGTCCAAATTGGACACGGGTCTTCCCAAGATGTTTGAATTTCTAGGAGGTTCCAACATTCTTGAATGGAGTACAAAATCATTTTCACCTTTTACCTGGCAAACATCCCCCTAGGTTCTTCCGCTCGCACGCTACCATCCCTGTCTATAACATAACATTCTATAAAACACGGATCCCGTTATGAAGTTTCTTTCTTTGGATCAATCAGTGTCTTCGCCGTTATATCAATGTAAGAGGCGAAAATCAAGCGACAAAGCAGAAATGGTGTGAAATCAAGATTCCGTTTTATAGTTCAAACCCAGACGTTTTACACCGTATTTGGTTCCTTCATAAATCGGCTCTCTTTATGGCAACCATACTCATCATTTATTGAGCTAAGAGAGGGAGAGATTAACTCCCGTTTGACAAGTGAATACGCCGCAGAATCTTGGAAATTGGACGTTTATTGTGTTCAGCACTCGAGCATCAGCTTCATATCTGGTGAATGCCTTCTTCACGGTAAGGGACGCCACCATTTCCGCTATCTGGATTTTCATGATCTGGGTTGAAAAAAGGTTTCATTCTTGATTGGCTAATGCTCTCTGAGGTTAACAGAATTAGAGTTTCAGATCTTGTTCTATTATTGCTGTGGTTGTCTTTCTGAAGCTTTGCTTTTTTTTTGAATCTAGTGTTGTAGATCAAATGTCTCTGGTGATTTCCCATCTACAATTGGTGATTTGCAGGTTGAGAAAACCTAGTTTTCTTACAGATTTGGAATTGTTGCCCTAAAGAAAAGAAAGGATTACTCAGCATTTAAATGGAAATAAAGATGCATTCAAGGGTTGGGAGCCAGGGGGCATTGGAGGAGGGGAAAGACCTTTCTGTTAGGGTGACAAATCAATACAAGCCTTTACCACTAAGATTACTTCAGTTTCTTCTTTTGTTTCTGGGTGTCTGTATTGCGTTTTCGATTGTTAGCATGTACACACTTCGGTATTTGGGAGTTCAGAGTGTGGTTCCTATGATACAGTCTGGGGTTCAGAATGTGGTTCCTAGGATACAGTCATGTTCTCAAGAAGTAAGTAATTTGGAGAGGTGGATTAGACCGCCATCCGATCTTTTGCATACTATGAATGACACTGAGCTGTTCTGGCGGGCTTCATTCGTTCCTCAAGTGAAAGATTATCCTTTTAAGAGAAGACCCAAGATTGCATTCATGTTCTTGACTAGAGGGCCTCTGCCTTTGGCCCCATTGTGGGAGAGGTTCTTTAAGGGTAACGAGGAGCTTTATTCAATCTACATTCATTCATTGCCAGCTTACAAGCCTAATTTCAATGCATCATCAGTGTTTTACCGTCGACAAATACCTAGCCAGGTAATCATCACTCTTCCTCTTCCACTTTTATGATCAGTTTGTGGAGATAATACCAACTGCAATTGCAAGTCGAAAGTTTATATTGCACAAAATGCATCTTCCTATCAATCTTCATCTTTCTATGGCCCTGTTTGGTAAAATGGTTGTTAGCTGATTGTGTTAATTAGAGGGTATAAATAGTTGATAACATTAGCTGATTGTAGAAAAGTGTTTGGTAAATTAGCTGTTAGCTGATAGCTGTTTGGTATAATTTCTTTTCTCAAAAAGCTAATTGAAAAAGTTGCTTGAGTAGCTTTTTGAATTTTAGCCTTTTGGAGTTGCAAAAAGTTAATTAACCAAACATTTATATTGATATTTTAACTAAATCAAACAATTAATAGTGGTCAAATAAGCCAAAATTGGCCTATAGGCCAATTTTTTACCAAATAGGGCCTTAATGTTTGGTAGAAAGAAACTGATCTTAACTACACTTTTATGGTTCTGCAACTATATTTATGCATATATAAATCATTTGAATAATGCAATTTCTGTATTTTATCGTCCATGGCTGTTGGTCTTCTTGTGTAGGTGGCAGAGTGGGGAAGGATGAGCATGTGTGATGCTGAAAGGCGACTTCTTGCTAACGCCTTGCTTGACATATCCAATGAATGGTTTATCCTCCTTTCTGAGGCATGCATTCCACTTCATAAATTTAGCATTGTTTACCATTACATATCGAGATCCAGGTACAGCTTCATGGCTGCGGCTGATGAACCCGGGCCTTATGGAAGAGGGCGTTATAATGAGAACATGTCACCTGTGGTTAACCTAACTGATTGGCGGAAAGGATCCCAGTGGTTTGAAGTTAACAGAAGATTGGCTGTTGACATTATTAAAGACGAGAAATACTACCCCAAGTTCGAGCAGTTCTGCAGGCCAGCGTGTTATGTGGACGAGCACTACTTCCCGACCATGCTGACCATAGAATCGCCTCGTCTCCTGGCAAATAGGACTCTTACATGGGTGGACTGGTCACGAGGCGGTGCTCACCCTGCTACATTTGGTAAGGCTGATATTACAGATGAGTTCTTTAAGAAGATGTTTGAAACGACATGCATCTACAATAACCAGCCAACTAATTTTTGTTACCTTTTCGCACGAAAATTTTCTCCTAGTGCTTTGGATCCTTTGTTAGAACATTCATCCAAGTTCTTGAGCTTCTGATAAGCCACTCATTTTCCATGTACACTTAGGCAGTATGAACTTAGGTATTCAAGAATGTTATATCATTCTACACATGTTTTTGTTAGTAAAATTTTGGTATTCTCTTGAATGTTATGCTCAAGAAACCTTAGCCAAGTTGGTTAAGCTGTTGGTTTAGTAATCACATTGGTACTAGTTTGACTCCCTGTGGGAACGACTTATTGGCTTTCTTGATTTGAACTGGTCAGTTATGAGCAACCTAAGCTGGTTTACCTCCTCGTAACCCTTTGCCGACTAGAGTCAAAAGTCAGGATTTACCCAGCACACACTCTCGAGTAGTGGCTACGGGTTTTCTTCGTCATTCAAAAAAAGAAAAAAAGAAAAAGTCTTTGCTGATTTGCTCTTCTTATAATTAGAAACATCAGAAACTGCTTGATAAATGGACAATTTGTATGTCATTATTAAACAAACCTAGTGCCCTGTATGGCTCACAGTTCATCATGCTTGTTTGTATTTCGCAATGGAACTTCGGGCTGGTGTTCAAGAAGGTACCTTACAGCCAACGAGGCCTGCAGCGCAGCGCCATAAGGAAGGGCGTCTTCGTTGACCTTGAAATAGGGCGAGTGCGCTGATGCAAGTTTTTCCCCAGTTTCATCCTGCAACCCAAGCAAGTACATATAACCAGGCATCACTTGCTGATAAAACGAAAAATCTTCAGCCCCCATCCGCATTTGAGCATCTTTAACGCGAGAACTTCCCAGCAGATCAGCTGCAACTTTGTGGAAGTACTCGTGCAAATCTTTGTCGTTTATGGTTGGTGGGAAAAACGGTTTCTCATCTTCATTAAAGTTCACACTTGCATTGCACCTCTGAACAGCAGCTTGTCTTACAATTACCTGTCAGCACAGATAGTTATATATGTATGTATATGGACTAATATGATAACATGGTACCAAAAACATAGTACAAGTTTAAGCACAACCTCCTCAATGCGCTTCTTGAGCTGTGCAAAGCCCTTCTTTGAGAAGGCACGGAAAGTTCCACCGATAGTAACAGAATCAGGAATGACATTAAATGCGCCACCCCCTTGGAAATGACCAACCGAAACTACCTGCACATGTTAAAAAAAGATATTGCCTAAGTTATTCAAAGGCTATATTCCCTTTTGAAATATTATCGAAGAAAAACAAAAAGCAGAACTAAAATGGTTACGGCTTCTCAGATCTGTTACAAAGCAGAGGTGACCTTCCATACATAACACAAAAACTACATTTCAGCAACATAGTAAAATGTAGAATCTGTTTGTGAACATACACAGTGGTGAAGGAACCTTAAATGCTTGATGATAAAGAGACAAGCAGGAGACACACCTGAGATTCTAAAGGATCAGCTTCTCGAGAAACAAGATGTTGTAAGCTGACTATCACATTTGATGCGGCAAGAATTGGGTCGATTGAATGCTGAGGAATAGCAGCATGCCCGCCTTTTCCACTGATTACAGCTTCAAAGAAGCCACTCCCCGCGAAGATAGGTCCAGGTCTGGATGCCACTTCACCCAAAGGCAGATCGGGGTCCACATGAAGACCAAAGATCGCCTCAACATTTTCCAGTGCTCCAGCATCTACCATTTTCTTACCCCCACCACCTCCTTCCTCTGCAGGTTGGTAAACAAGAACAACTGTTCCCTGTCGAAAGCATTATTTCAGATATCAAAACAAGTAGTAGGCCATATAATAGTTTTGAATGAAGAACAGACATCAAATGATTAAGAATCAAACCTTCAACATTTGTTTATGTTGTTGAATAATCTTGGCAGCACCAAGAAGCATTGCAACATGTGCATCATGTCCACAAGCATGCATCTTTCCAGGGATTTTACTTTTATGCTCCCACTCCACCATTTCCTATGGAATCTTAAACTCATTAAATTTAAGCACCAGTGTTACCATATTTAAGACAATGATCTCTTCTGATTAAATTCACATCTATATTGATACACTCTAATACTAATATAAATAAATTACCATAAAGAACCAACAAAGATTCCCATCACACAAGCTTAAAGAACAAAGTCAATCACAGAGACTGTAAACAATACAATACAAACCAAACAAATTAAGCAAACCTGCAGAGCAAGAGCATCCATATCTGCTCTTAATGCCACAAAGGGAGGCTTCCCAGAACCAATGTATCCAACCACACCAGTTAAAGCAAATGGATGCTTGTAGGGAATCCCCAGTTCATCCAACTTCTCCCTAATAAGCTTACTGGTCTCAAATTCCCCATACCCCAACTCAGGATTCTCATGTATCTTCCTCCTAATCCCCACCATCCAATCAAAGACCTCAGCTTCCTTGGCGAATTTGAAAAAAAACTTGGGGATCTCCTGGGGGGTCAGTTCAAACTCTGATGAAATGGGTATGGGAGAAAACAACATATGAACAGAAATCAGGAAAACCAATTTGGAGAAACCCATGATCTTTGTTCTTTCCCGGCCCGCTGACCGGATTGAAAAACGCGAAATCAACAAGGGATAGAAAAAAAAGAGGGGATTTTTGAGTGATTGTTCTATATTATATATTTATATATATATACATACACGCGTATCCATTGGAAACACAGTACTGACAGTAGAATAGTTGGTCAGCTTCAAGTTCATGCCAATAGATATTGAATTTGAGAACGGGGAAAACGTGGGATTTTACAACATTGAATTGTATTTGGTTCGTCGCAAGTTTCTCTTCTGACGGACCGCTGCCGCCGCTATAAGCCTAAACTGATCCCACCTCCACTTTCCTCACGTGCATTTTAGTGCGCATTTTTTTCAATCATTATTAGAATGTTACAAATTCGATTCTGCCAACACTTTCTCGGTCTTATGTACTTATGTTACAAGTTTGATTTTGTTAACACTTTCTCAGTCTTATGTTACAAGTTCGATTTTGCCAGCAACACTTTCTTGGTCGAATTTGTTGTGCATGGTCTTGTAGAAAAACAGAATTAACCTAATACACATCCTTAAATAGTAGTCATAGTAGAATATGTTTCCTATTTTACTAACATTTATTTTTCATATTCAATTTTTTTAAGACTATAATGTTATAAAATTAATCACAAATTATAATTTTGAATCATTTACAGAAGTAGTGAAACTCTTTTGGGTCAATGTAATCCAAAAAGGTCAGTAATTTTTTTCTTTCAGTTTATGCATAAAAGTCTTGTATCCTTTTCTATTTATTCAAACGTGTCACTTGTTACCTAAACAAACTAGCACTAGATATGCCTAATTCTAGTACAAAAATCCATAAGTATTCAAGAATGATAAAAACATTATCCAAATGTGAAATGTCTGCCAAAATCTTTGCATTTTCTTGAATGTAATGATAATCTCTGCAGGAGCCTCACAGTTCATCATGCTTGTTTGTAACCCATTCCAGCTGGCGTTCAAGAATGTACCTCGCTGCCAAGGACGCCTGGAGAGCAGCGCCATAAGGAAAGGCGTCCTCGTTAACCTTAAAATACGGCGAGTGTTCTGATGCGGATTTGTCATCTGCAGCTTCATCCTTCAACCCAAGTCCATATATGTAACCAGGCATAACCTCCTGATAAAATGCAAAATCGTCGCCCGCCATCAATGGTTTGTGGTCCTTAACACGAGAACTTCCCAGCAAATCGCCTGCAACTTTCTGGAAATGCTGGTGCAAGTCTCTGTCATTAATGGTGGGTGGGATGGAGGGCTTCTCACTTTCCAGAAAGTTAACCGTCGCATTGCACCTCTGCACAGCGGCTTGCCCGACTATTACCTGTCAGCGTGGACGACAGATACAGCTAAGAGAACATTTGTGGATGTTGATGAATCAAAAGAGCTGACAACAATAATTTCCGCTAACATGAAGCCATTTACTTGGCAAAAACGTGATGAGTATGAAAACTATGAAACACATGGTACTAACTTTCCTCGGGCCTAACCAGCTTGGTTGGCGTGAGTGGCCGTGCACTCTCGTCCCTTAAGAGAGGTCGGGAGTTAAAACCCCCTCTCGTATGGAAAAACCAATATGGCCAGCACTTTGACCCTTAATTGGGTCGGGCCGGTGCAAACAGGGATTAGTCTGAGTATCGCAAATTATGCTGTGCAACCGAATGCACCATGCGCATGGTGCATACGATGCAAAACGAGTAAACGACGTCGTTTTGGTTAAAAAACGCGCGTCCCACTTAAAAAAGAAATCAGGCTCGATTCCCGGCAATAGCATTTTTATATATCCATAAATTCATAATTATATATCCACAAATTCATAACTATATATCCACAATGAATGAATGAAGTAAAAATCCACAATGAATGAACTAAATATCCCCAATGAATGAACTAAATATCCACAATGAATGAACTAAATATCCATAAATTCATAACTATATATCCAGAAATGCATAACTATATATCCAGAAATTTATAACTATATATCCATAAATTCATAACTATATATCCACAGTGAATGAATGAAGTAAATATCTACAATGAATGAACTAAATATCCAGAAACTCATAACTATATATCCACAATAATGCTATTGCCGAGAATCGAACCTGAATTTTTTTTAAGTGGGACACGCGTTTTTAGTCAAAATGACGTCGTTTTGCATCGTATGCACCATGCGCATGGTGCATTCGGTTGCACAGAATAACTATTGTCTGAGTATGGTACGGGCTTAAAAGTGCCTCCTACAGTTAGGGCATACTCAGGACACCTCGTGGTCTGACAAAAAAAAAAAACTTTCCTCGGGCCTACCTGACAATTGACATCATCAAACACTCTTCGCCTTTCCAATAAGTGGTATGCAATTCATAACTTTAAAGATAACGAAAGCATATAAAGATATACATGTATATAAACACTTTGGAGTATGGACTATATACAAATATGTACAATGATCCTAGCCTAGCTTGTTCACAAGTTTAAGCATTACCTCCTCGATACGCTTCCTGAGCTGTACCATGCCCTCCCTTGAGAAGGCGCGGAAAGTTCCACCAATAGTAACAGAATCAGGAATAACATTAAACGCACCCCCTCCTCGGAAATGACCAACTGTAACTACCTGCACGTGTGAAAAGGAGACGCCTAACTACCTAATTCAGAAGCTAAAATGGTAAAAGCTTCTCAGTTCCCATTCAAAGCAGATTAAGTATCACATTCACTTCATAGAGTGGTTGAATGGGCTCAATATATTTTCTGAGTTACACGCAAAGACATGCAGCATAGGAATGTGGACAGAAACACATACCTGAGAGTCTAATGGATCAGCTTCTCGAGAAACAAGATGCTGTAAGCTGACAATCACGTTTGATGCAGCAAGAATCGGGTCGATTGAGTGCTGTGGAATAGCACCGTGCCCCCCTTTTCCACTGATTACAGCTTCAAAGAAGCCGCTCCCAGCCAAGAACGGTCCGGGTCTGGATGCAACTTCACCCAATCGCAATTCAGGTTTCACATGCACAGCAAAGATTGCCTCGACGTTTTCCAGTACTCCAGCATCTCGCATTTTCTTAGCCCCAGCACCTCCTTCCTCTGCTGGTTGGAAAACAAGAACAACCGTTCCCTGTCAAAAGTATTACAAACAGACTATTTCAGGTAACAATATAAAGATATCAAAATACAGATCTTTTTACTCGGGATATATCTTTAGCTAAAATGACCACTTGGGCAGACAACACAAGGGCATTGACCAAGATGAACCCTACAAATAAATGGAAGTAATTGCAATAGATTGCGATCCTCTTTCCTTACGAATGAATTCGGGGAAATCCATTCAAACAACTAACAAGTCATAAAGTCGTTTGAAATCAAGAACATTATAACAGACACTATACTTACTGCAACACAACTAATACAGACAGCAAAAACAGTAGCTTTGCAAATGATTACTAATCAAACCTCTAGCATTTGTTTATGTTCTTGAAGAATCTTGGCAGCACCAAGAAGCATTGCAACATGTGCATCATGTCCACAAGCATGCATCTTTCCAGGGATTTTACTCTTGTGCTCCCACTCCACCATTTCCTATGAAAATTTAAACCCATTAAATTTAGGCACTCAATTACTGCACTTGGCAACATTGCCATATATAAGACAATGGTATCTTCGTCTGCACGAATAGTTCAATTGGTTCCTGGCTGGTACATTGTGGGCGAGAACAGGATCTCGAGCCTGGAAGCCACAATGTGGGAATCACACCAAATGTGGTGGCTCCTTGTGAGCACCAGACACGGGTCATCCCAACTAATGGGCCGCTAAGTCAATGTGATTAGTTGCACTATACCGTGGGCCGTGGGGCCCTGGGTAGATTGTGGGCAAGGGCTAGACATTATGCATGAATTCACATCTATATTGATACACTATAGTATAATAAATTAACACAAAGAATAAACAAAGACTCTCATCACACAATCTTAAAGAACAAAGTCAAATCACAGGGAATGTAAACAATACAAACCAAACAAATTAAGCAAAACTTGAAGCAAACCTGCAAAGCTAGAGCATCCATATCTGCTCTTAATGCCACAAAGGGAGGCTTTCCAGAACCAATATATCCAACCACACCAGTTTCAGCAACTGGATGCTTGTAGGGAATCCCCAGCTCACCCAGCTTCTCCCTGATAATCTTACTGGTTTCAAATTCCTCGTACCCCAACTCAGGATTCTCATGTATCTTCCTCCTAATCCCCACCATCCAATCAAAGACCTCAGCTTTCTTAGCCAATTTGAAAAAAATCCCAGGGATCTCTTGCGAGGTCAGCTTAAGCTCTGATGAAATGGGTATTGGAGAAAACAAGAACTGAACAAAAATTAAGAAAAACCATTTGGAGAAACTCATGATTGCTGTCCTTTCCAGCTGAGCCCGGATTCAGAAACGGTATATGCGAAACCAAATGGGAAAATGATATACTCCCATGGAGTATAACTCCGGTTGCGCATACAAATTTTATTGGGGTAAATAAAAGTGAAATGATTAAAAACAGTAGAAAGTGAGAATATGTAAATATGTAATATTACTCAACCAAAAAGTATGCTTGCATAGGCACGTGTGTAGTGGAAAAACTGGAAATACAGCAGAATCATTGGTCAGCGTCAATATTATTGTTTCTACAATAATTTTGTATTGAGAAGGCAAAATTTTTTATTAAATATTATAGAATAAGGTAACACTTGTGTAATATCATTTTTCAAAGGCGGATCGGATCTTTAAATTCATTAATTAAATATTAGATCTATCTCACGGATTAAGATCTGTGAGACGGTCTCACACAAGTTTTGACCTTATTCTAACTCATAAAATACATTATTTTATCTTATAAATTTTATTTTAATACATTATTTTAACTCATAAAATGCATTATCTTATCCCAAAAATTTATTATTCTTACACATAAGCATGCGGGGCACAATTTTTTTTAACGTCAAAATAATGTCATTTTAGATCGTAGTCCACAATAACTTGCCAAAAGAAACACTCTAGGTGAAAGTCATCTTATTATCTTATTAACCCAGTTAACAAATGACCACAATAAGATAAATTAACATAAGTTACTCATGACTGACTAGCTCAAACCAAAAAAGTAAATAGAAGCTCTCACAGAAAGTCAAACTCGAAATTTTATAATTACCAAGTCAATTATCCAACAAGTTGGCTCCATTTTGTGTACTCTGTTCTTATGCCTTTCCCTTGTATTTTAAAATTTAAAAAAAAAAAAAAAAAAAAAAAGAATCCCAAAAGAAAAGCTTGCGTCTTTATTAACATTTTCCCACTTTTCTTTAAAGAAAAAAAAAGGCTAAAAATTATCCAATGCATAAACTGATGATCATAAACTATAGAAACATTAAAAGCTTTAGAATCAGAGGGTAAACCATTGGTTACAGCAAGTAAAAATGTAAAACTCATGCCAGTTGATCCCAGGCCAAAAGTTGCCATAAGTCTCAACAGCTCAATACAAGTATACAAATCATCATCATTATAAAACTCCACCCCAAAAAGCAGTTCTGCAGAGCAGTAAAAATAGTCCAGTCCTCCAAAATCATGAATGGGAGGATGATACTGATTTCTCGGCTAGATAGTGCTCAAGCATATCTTCCTCATCGTCTACAAAAAAAAAATAAAAATGAAGCTAGTGTTACTTTGGTTCAGAGACAGAAGAAGATAGTGTACTAGTGAGAAGGCGAGAGAATGACCTTCAAAGTCTTCATCGTCGAAATCAATATCGTCTTCGCCTTCATCAGATTCTTCAGCAACGGCTGTTGCACCCTTCTGTAGAGAACAAATGAAAAACTGATATAGCTTGCGTATTGTTATTGCTTGTTAAATGTTGAGGTCGTTTGGTTGGGGGGAATAAGTGGGGTAGTATTGTTAGCCCTTTCTCGCTATTTCTCTAAACCAAACATAGGGTTTTCAATCCAGGCCCAATCAATCCCATCTTCTTTTTCCTTTTTTCAGACTGACAATCAAGTCTCATAATACCCCCCTACCCCCCCCCCCCCTCATCCCTTCATTAGAACCAAAAGACCACTGAATATACTAACCACCATTATAACCTAAGCATGGACTGAGCTTGACCCAGTTCTAAGCAGCATAAACATCAAAAGTTTCAGTTTCAATTTTATAATGTGGTTCTTCCCTGTTATGAGGATTCTTGGTGAAATAAAGCAAAGCAAGCATTGGCTTGATTTCTTTGGATCAGGTTTAATATAGTAGTTACTAAATGGTTTATTGGCAGGAGGAAAGCAAAAAAAAAAAAAAAAAAAAAAAATTACCGAAGATGCTCTTCCACTTTCAAACCATTGTCTGCCTGACAGCCTCTTTTCCTTGGGTGCTGAAAGGGCAGAATCCGGCATTAACCTGAACATTGTAAATTTATTAGGACCATTACTACTGAAAGCAAATGATAGTATGATTTCTAGAAATGTCACCACAGAATCAACAAGAATGCAACATTTGATTCTAAGCATATTCTTTGCAAAAAGGTTAGCCTTGGTCAGTGTAATGCACTAATGCATGCCACTTTCATGATATCCATCTTGACTGGAATAATTTAAAAGCATTTGTTGAAAAGCTAATAAACTAAGCGACAACTGGTATATTGTCTGGAAAATTACATCTCGGGTTCCTATTCACCTTGCTCTCTCTGCCCCTGCCCCGCCCCCAAAACAAACCTTCATCAGAGTGTGACTGTGAGAAATGTTTGTGTACCAACACTGCAAATGTACTACTGTTCACTGCCTTTGAAATAAATGAAATAGCAACTGTACAAGAGAGATTCACCCTACTTGGCTCTTTCCAGGGCTAGTTCAGCCTCATATATTTCTCTCCATGCCAAGAATGTTTCAACAGTCACTGGTTCTCCATGTGGCACAATTACCTGAAATAAAAATAGAGCCAGATCAAGTTTGAAGCGAATTAGATTTAGGTCAACTGACGATGTTAACAAGTGAAGAACACAAAAATAGATAATGATGAAAATATATTGTTAATGCAGAACTGAGACACCAAAATTAAATTTGAAATGTCAGAAACTTATTGAAGGAAAGACTTCACAAGTGCTTCTCCACTATTGGTCTATTCATTAATCACTTACCTAATTACTTTGACAGAATAAGCAAAATCTCCAATTAACAAAAACAATCCCAATATGTAACTACAATGCTGCTAATGAGCTGAGCAAAGAACACAGCATACAGTTGTATATGTGAGGATCAGCCATCTCTAATACAGGTTCAAGATTTGATTAAAGCACAACAGAAAACCAAACCCTAAACCTGAAGGAAACTTGTAGTTGAACTAAAGAGAAGATTAATGAGTCAAACAAATATTTACCATTCTGATTTAGACCCATATCAGTTGCATTTCACAAATTTTGAGTACACATATCTATACATGCAATCTTGTGCGAGGATTGAATATTTCATGATGCAACAGATTGGAAAACTATAACATATACCTCATCTTTTGCCGCTTCATCTTCTCCAGCATTTTCATCATCACCATCCTGAGCAAATAGTTCAGATAGCCACTCTTTTGCTGATGTGACCAATGTGTAGATCATTGCCATGCCAAGATTCTCAGTTGCCTGTAGAATACAATCACATAGCAGCTCAAGGAGCATCAGAAATTACAGTCATGCAAACTGTAAGTTGAACTGGTTAAAGGCAATAACCAAACATTTTCAATAAATTAAGTGGACATTGGCCCCATCTAGCTCTCTTGTTAATCTAATTTACCCGCCAATCCTTTGTTTCAACAATCAGGAAAGATTTCAGTCATGCTTCTTTGATTTCATTGAAGGTGATAAGTTTTTGCAGAAACAATATTCAGAATGCATATTATTTATAAAGATGCCAAAAAGTGCATTGGAAAAGAACAGAGATGTACAATCTACCTCTTGCTCTAGCTTTTCTTTCAAAATTTTAAGGTCTCCAGATTGGATTCCCTTTAAGCTGAAATTACCATAAAGAAGTATTAAAACACATCAAAGTTATGCAATTTAAAAAATAAAATAAAAACAATAATTTTGTCTGACATGGGTAGCACACTAAAAATTTGGTGTCCATTCTTTCTAGATGCAAACACCATGTTAAAAGAAGAAAGGTCCTCAGAAGTAATGCATGCAAAGCATGGTGATTATGCCATAAGCTTGATGGCCTTGAATTGGTAGATAAACATGGAAACTGTGAAGCCTTGGGAGTTGGGCCCACAAATTGACAAGCCAAAAAGATACTTCACAAGTTATATATTGATATGTGCATAATAAGCATTTAGTTAGTACATTTTTCATTTTTTGGCAAGTAAAAGTATGTAAATCATACCTTTGTACATTCAAAAGTGGGGGCTCATCGGGATACTTTTCAGTGTGTGAGAAAATTAAAGCAAGTCGAACTGCAGAAACAGTTTGGTATATGCATTAAATTCAAAACAATAGGCAGAATAAAATAAGCATAATACAGAAATTTGAGGTCTCCAGGAAGTCACTTTAGAAAAACCTGATGAATTTGTTGGTTCATCTGCCTCCTCCTCCTATAAAACATATATAAGGTTTATAAGAAATTAAGAATACTGACGGTAAAACAAATGACAATAACAAAAACAAAAAAAAATTACAGCATTGGCAGAATTCGAGGCAACCCACAAGAACCATGACAAAAGGTGTTCAAACCAATTTACTCCTTTTTTAAAACTAAAAGATCAATTATGAAACTTTTAGAATGAAATATTCACAAAACACTTGAACAATATATATACCTGAGGAGATATAGCAATTTGAAAGCACCTACTGGATGTGCTCAGCCCACTTTCACCAGGGTGAATTTCTGGAACATAAAAAGCCACGGTATATTATTCATGAGACTTAAACAACTTGGTGCTCATCAAATCAAGCATCGTGAATATCATGAATAGTCAGGGACAAACCCTTGAAGTCATCCATAAGGATAGCTTCTAAAGCTTCTATTTCCATCTCTTGTTCCTGCACATAATCTGATCAAGAGTTCAATGTCAGATACATATAATAGTTCAAAATAACTTAAGCCCTAGTCAATAAGCAAATACTACACATTATTGTTTGTCAAAGTGAATTGGTCATTTTTCTTTCTTATTTGGATAACAACAAAAGGTTGATAAATGTATTCATTCAGTGACCCCGTGCTAAACAATCAAAAGTCATGACTCATAACAAGCATTTCACACAATTTTCAGTCCCTTGCAAACCATTCACTCTCCATTCACACATTTACTACAAATTCAAATTCAGCAAAGAAATAAGAAAGCTTTAGCTGGATTTTATACTTGAAACTCAATAAACACACCAACTTCAACAAGTAGACATTGAAGTTTAGTAATAAACCCTACACACACACACACACACACACACGCACACACACAAAACACCAAAAAGAAAATAAAAACAACATAATCTAAGCACAAACACGGTGAAATTCACACTATCAATTGCGGAGCATAAATTTGCATCTAAAATAAAAGTTTATAGCTCATATACAAACAAGATTCAATCCGAGATTACCGGTCATGGTTGCTTTCTGCTCCTGCTTTAGTGCAATTACTCAATCCGAAAAACAGCGATTCTCGACACTGATACGCACTGTGGACTAAAACCTAACGAACGCCCCTTTTTCGTTCAGTAATGTTATTAGCTCAAGCATATGAGCATCGATCGACAATTGCCGTTGATCGAAATCGTGTCCCTCGATAAATTTCAAAATTTCTCCCTCGCCCTTCCAAATACTTGTAATTATGCAATCTTCCCGATATATTTACTTATTTGTGTTATTGCTTGCAATATAAGTTTTAACCTTTTTTTTTCGAAAATAAGTTTTAACCTTTTTTGTTTTTTTTTTTTTTAGAATAAAAAGTTTTAACTTTTAAACCCTAAATTTAAAATCATTCACCACTCCCATTGCTCTTGCTTTTGAGACTATTGGATAATAAGATCATTCACAAAATGTATCTTAATTGACATACATGCCCCAAAATACTTGTATAAATAAAGCTTATAAACTTATATTTGAATTGATTAACCAATTTAACTATGTCTCAAAACATATTTTTTAGTTTAACTTCTTCTCCACCAGGCCACAATATGGTTATATGAAGGGAAATAAAAGTAAATGAGTATAGGAACAAAAGATAACATACATTGTGTTATTGAGCACTTGTTATACAAAATTTTGATGATTTTATTATGGTATAAATTATAATTGATTGAGTTAACAGTTTAATACCAATATGCAAGTTGCATGTGATGGGCATATTATGCATAATCATTAAATTGTGATTTTTATCTATATGTGTGTGCGTGTCTTGTTAATAGATCTTTTTGACGTCAACAAACAAAGTTGTTGAAAGATCCCATAAAATAAACATTACCTACATTTTTTTTTGTTCGTGATATGAAGCAAAAAAAAAAAAAAAAAAAACACATAATATGATAGAGAATAAGTCGTGTGGGGGTAATGGAAGGATGGATAGGCCGCACACGCGTCCCAATCCACCGGGTCGATCCAACTATTGTGTATAGAGGCGTGGCAGCATATTGTTATTCCTATTTTGATGGGCTGGCAGAATATAAACAAGCCACTGGTTTCCCCATGCCATGCCATGGCAGTAGGGGTGGTGCGACCCCAAGCACGGCAACGACGCCCCTACCTTAGGGGTTGTAGTATTGAAGGTATGTACATACTTCGAGGGATAGTGATCGGCCCCTATCGGTCGGCGCATGGCCGATGAGTTAGCCCATCGGTCTCGTATGACTGTGGCCGGTGTGGTTGGTGCACTCTTAAACGTGGCAACAGCATCCCCACTTAAGGGGGGTGTAGTATTGAAGGCATTGGCATACATGCGGAAGTGAGGGGGGTGGTGATCGGTCCCTGGCGGCTAGCAATGTTAGCCTATCGGACTCCCTGTGACGTGGCGTGGCTAGCAGGGTCCAAGCACCCACCCGTGCCCCTACCGATGAGGGGTGGTAATAAGGGGTACAGAGAGGTGGTAGAGAAGATGAGTGAGAAGCTAGAGACGTGGGTAAAGACACGAAGCATACATGTACATGTGGATCATGGATAGGAAATACTAGCCGATGTTGTACACTTGTCAACAATCCAGAAGGTCATCTACACTATAAATAGGCACCTTTATTCCCTCTTTAGGACATGATCCTTGTGTTTACTAAATTCTAGTTGGCTTAGTAATTTGTGGTCCTAACCTTAAATCCATACACTAGAGTTCAATTCCTAGCTGCAATATTATTATTCCTAGTCCATTTTTTAGAGCTATAATATGTATTATTTATGAATATTTTGAACCAATATCTCGAACTACGTAGTACATATTTTTTAAAAAAAAAAAATTTGATAGCGTCTCAAGTAATAAAACTATTGTTTTCCTACCCATTGTTTAGTACTTTTATGCCTAATTTCTGGTGGACCTGGTACTGACAAAACCACCTATCCACATTTTGGCATAAGGGTTTGCAGATAATCAAGCTCTTATCCTAGTTGAAGAGTCAAACCCTCAATAATTATATTTTGAAACAAATTGCTTAAACTTGGTTCAAGGTAGAGTAAATAATTCATATTATATACTAGTATTGCAGTCAAATAACGTATGTCATTAGTTTATATGTTTTACTGTAAAACTAGCCCTATTAAACGATCAACAAAGCTCACAACTCATTCACTTGTTCAAGCTATAAGCTTTTTTTTTTTTTAATGCTACTGGCTCTATTACATTGTAGTATCTGTTCAAGCTATAAGCTATTAGTATGGAAAATACTAAGTAGGCTCTCACTTTTTTAATTTCCAAGTTATATTCTTACTTTTAAATTTTTGAGGTAGACATTTTGTTTGGGACCTAAAAGTAAAAGTGAGTGAATATTATTTTTGAGAGAACTCTATTAGGGTGTGTTTTGTTGGTGGGTTTTGCCCATAGGAATGGGTATGAAAGTGATTGTTGTTGTTTGGTTGATAGGTTTTTAGAACACTACTATGGGTTTGGAATATCCCATCAATTGAAAAACTCGTACCCAAATAATTAGCTTAAAATGGCATAAAATGGCATATTAAGTGGCTATTTTGTGGTACAATTATCAGTGGGGTCCACTTCCGATTTGGGTCGGGTCAAAGTGGATTCGGATTCTTCGTAGTAAGACGAAGAGATTGATATATTGTACGCTCAAAACGGATAATGGGTGAATGAGATATTGATTCTCAAAGTAGACCCATTTAAGTTGGGAAATGAAGGGAAAATGTAGGACTTTGTCCCACATTGGTTTGGAAACAAGATTTGCCCCCCTTATATACATGAGCTCTTTTCAAGCTTGTAGAATTATATAGCATAGGTGCTCTCTCGCGCGGGGGGGGGTGCAAATCAAAATCCAACTAGAGGACATCAAAAAGCCCGAGCCGGCACTGTTATACATAATTTATTAAAGAAGTATATGTTCATAATTTTATTACTATATGTTAATAACTATACGTTCATAACTCCATAACTGTACATTCATAATTTTCGAAGCTCTATGTTCACAATTTTAGAGCTCTATGTTCATAATTTTATCACTATATGTTCATAATTGTAAGTTCATAATGTTAGAGCTCTTTGTTCATAATTCGATCAATAACTGTACATTCATAATTCCATAACTGTAGATTCATAATCTCATAACTGTAGATTCATAACTCCATAACTGTAGATTCATAACTCTATAACTGTACATTCATAATCTTCGAAGCTCTATATTCACAATTTTAAAGCTCCATGGTCATAATTTTATCACTATATATGTTCATAATTGTAAGTTCATAATGTTAGAGCTCTGTGTTCATAATTTCATAATTGCATAACTGTACATTCATAACAGCATAACTGTACATTCATAACGGCATAACTGTACATTCATAATCAAAAAAAAAAATAACGCCGTTAACGGCAAAACGCGCGCGATATTTTTTTTTTTTTAACTAAATGACGCGTTTTTTTTTAAAAACGATGTCGTTTTGGGCCCGTGTCCACAATTCATTGTGGACACGGGTCCAGGGCATAATTTGCCCCTGCGGGCACGAATGTCGTCCGGAAATGGGCTGGCCTTGCGGACATAAGTTATGCCTAACTTCGGTATCATTTTCCATCTGTTATAGTCACTTGGCTCGGCCAAAACCGAGAACACCACTTTCGTGCTACAGAGAGCACGAGAGGTTGTGGTGCATGGCTCGGCCAAAACCGAAAACACCACTCTCGTGCTACAGAGAGCACGAGAGGTTGTGGTGCACCGAGAGCAAAACTCTCGTGCAACGGTGAACACGAGAGGTGTACTCTCGTATTGCACCATAGCACGAGAGGTGTACTCTCGTGGTGTACCACAGCACGAGGGTGTGAACTCTCGTGCACCCCAACGGTCTGAAACCCGAAAGTGCAGAAGATTAAACTCATCTGTTACGGAATTAATACTGTTTTAATTCCAATTTTTAAATTCTGAGTTTAATCCTACTTAGTGGTGACCGTTACAGGTGTTACACAATTGGTTTTAACACCAATTTAATGGCCATGTTGAATGCTATCACTCCAACATCCCTATATAAAGAGAGGTAGAAGCAGTAGCATTTTACACAGTGAAAAAACAAAGAAATTCCAGTAGCTTTTCATCTCAAAACTCTGCTTCTACTATCTTCTTTTAGCCAACCAGTGTTCTAAATTTTGCTTTGTTTGCCGGGTTCCTTGTTTAGGTGCTTAAACAAGGAATCGTAGCACGTTTTATCCTGGGAAACCTAGGCTACAACGCTCCTAGCACTTGTGGGAGGTAGCAAATAAGGTTTTAAGGAAAAGAACCTTGTGTTCGAACTCGTGCTAAACCTATACCCAAACACTTAACCTTTTCCTTCCCAATTCTTTCTGTTTTCCCATATAATATTAATCTTTTCGTAGGATTATTATTTTTGGAAATTTTCAACCATATTACCCAACATAATATAGTCTAATAACGTACTTAAAGCGTTAATCATCCTTCTTGTATTCATCAAATGTTTTTGCCTTAATAATATATAATAATAGGCCTTTTTTTCAAAAAAAAAAATATATATAATAGACTTAAATTATCCTTTTTTTTTATTACAAAAAAAGAGGATACCCAAATAATCCAAATATACAAACTCCAACCCGTCACCTCAGAGAAGTAACTTGGTACTATTGGACCACAAAATTATTGACAAGTTTAAATTATCTTACTTACCTATCTAATCGATTTAGAAAAAAAAATTCATAATTGTTGGGGTGTGTGTGCAATTCATGATAAATTGAAGGGCAGGTTTCGGCCACCATTAGCAGGGCCCACGAGGGGAACAGGTGCAGATTTGCTAATATACAACGTGTCGTGCCGAATCGCAACGCCCTAATTTTCCATATTTTCCCCCCACGCTTAGAAACTAAATAAATAAAATCAGAAATAATATTAATTTTCCCACTCGTCACTTCCTTTCTCTCTCTATATCTCTCTCTCAAAGAGAGTACAGAGTTGGAGCCTGGAGGAGTGCCCTTCTCTCTCTTTCTCTGACTCTCTGTGTTGGAAAAAAGATACCAAAAGGTACGTCCGATTCCGATCCATTTGAAAAACAGTACCCCACTCCGCTGCTTCGTCTTTCTTCGTCATCAACAACAACAACACTCTTCACAGACACGCAGCCCCCCCTCCCTCTCTCTGTCACTCTCTCCTTCGCATTTTTCCTTCTTCCTCTGCGAAACTAAAAGAAAATAAAAAAAAATCCCAAGAAAATCCGCGCTAGCTATCCGGGATGGAATCAAAACGAGGACTTGTGAATCTGAATGAACAGGGAAATTTGGGTTGTCGAGTATTTTTGTTAAAATAAGGAAAAACTTATTAATTTTTGGTGTTTTTTTTTCCCGGAAAATTTTTTTTTTGCCTCGGTTCTTTGTCTTCCCCAGATCTGTCTTTCTTCCCCTATCGGTTTCCTCATTTTCTGGGCTCGATTTTTTTTGGAATAAAAAGTGATTCGAGTATTCGTTTTCTTCCCGTGTTTGCCTTTGCGGTGCATTTGAGGTTTAAAATTTGTTTTGTCTTTTTTTTTTTTTTTTTTTTTTTTTAAAAATAAAAAATAAAAAAAGGGTATATACATTTTCCGCCGTTTGGGAGGTCGGTGGAGTTTTTGTGGCTTCGTGTGCTCAGGAATGCTTGGTTGAGATTGAGCTTTTGAGGAATTTTTATTTTTATTTTTCCCCATATTAGTGGCTGCGATAAGAGGGATGGGGAGTTCTGGGGAGTCTAGCGCTAAATCCGTTGATGCATCGGCTGGTGGGTTGGTCTGGGTCCGCCGGAGAAACGGTTCGTGGTGGCCAGGTCGGATTTTGGGGCTGGAAGAGTTGCCGGAAAACAGTACGATTTCTCCAAAATCAGGGACTCCAGTTAAGCTCCTTGGAAGAGAGGATTCAAGTGTGTAAGTTATTTTACCTCTTCTTTCCTCATTTATTTATGTTTTTTCATAGACTTCCGGTGGAGTTTGTGTTTTGTATGTTCATTGAATAAATTAATGCGTTAGTTCAGAATTGCAGCTTTATTAGCAAGTCCCTTATCACCTGATTCGCCACACTTGTATTACTCTTATTCTCTTGTGCACACTAGGTGATTTGTGTGGATTAATCAATCCTGTGCACTGACTGTTAGTACACAAGTTTGACTTTGTGTATGAACCAGAGTCTCCTGCCCTGTCAAATTTGGATTAACCAATAAAGCAGAAAGAAAGGAAATGTTCAATAGTTATCCTCAGCTGATGCCCATGTTAGTTCTTAGGATTTGGGGTTGTAAGGGAGATAGACTCATAGGATTTGGTTAAACAATCAGGTTTGAGGGTAATGTATGTGGTGCACAATGCCCAGGTTTTGCTGTTCAGTGCTCACTGCCATGTGATATTCCCTATTCATCTTCATTCACACTAGGATCATCATCATCTTGTCAAATCACTTTTATCCTGACTTGGCCAGTTGGCCCTATTGTTGGTGTCTGATACATCATACATGGTTGATATGTCAATGCTGTCCACTGATTTCTGTGCACCCTGCAGCATCCCAACCTGGTAGATTAGTGTATTTTTTCAGCTCAATATCTGTCATGTGCATGTGCCTGCAGATAGGGGGTATTGCATTTTAGGCTGATATATTGGAATCTTGGACCAATGGATGTTACATTCTAGGTCCTTGGATAAAGGATAGTAATTAGTGACACTTGGTCATTCACGTGTTTGTATAATGTTAGGCTGTCTGAGAATCAGGAATCCTATTAGTTATTACCAGTAAGTAAATGTTGGGAGCATCATCTTAATCTTTAAAGATTTGTGCAATGGATATTTTCATTCTCTTCCCATGACCTCTTAAGTACTCTCCCTTTGTCAAGTATGAACAGTTCTTTGGTTCTGGTAGAATTGGATTGATGTTTCACATTTTAAGCTTTCCTTTATTATACTCCATACTTGATATGATGAAACTTGACCAAAAAGGGAAATGGAAGACTTTGTGAAAAAATGGAGTTGAAACTTTTTATTCTGTCAGTAAAAATGATGCATTGTGCAATGTCTGTTCTTCTAGCCTCTTGTTGCTTCTTAGTTGTCATGTCCTTGTACATATATGATTTTCTTTAGTTATGCTCATGCAAATATCCCCTGACATGGTTTCAGTTACCAATGTCTGAAAAATCTATTTCTGTTCTCTAGTTTTATTTCTTAGCATTCTAAAGTGGCCGAGAAATGGTGTTAATGTGGGAGAAACTGATTCCAACATATTTCAAAGATTCCCTTTAAGGAATAGCATGTAGCGTGTTGTGAACTTGAATTGCTTTTTCATGTTGCCAACTATTATAATAATATTAGTTCTTTCTGAGGTCTGAATTTTATCTGTACATAATGTTTGTCTGGCAAGTCTGGTTAAGTAATTCACTGCATCATCAATTGCATTGAGCTGTTGAGCAAATTAAGTTCCTTTGAATTTATATATTTAGAATTACAAATATGATTTTAGGAATTGAAAAAAATTGGAGTTTAATATTGTATGTTGTTTCAGGGACTGGTATAATCTTGAAAAGTCTAAGCGAGTGAAAGCTTTTCGTTGTGGGGAGTATGATGAATGCATTGAGAAAGCCAAGGCTGCTGCAGCTAATGCTTCTAAGAAGGTTGTGAAATATGCCCGCAGAGAAGATGCTATTCTTCAGGCACTTGAGATTGAAAGTGCTTGTCTTGGAAAAGATCATCCCAATTCTCTTCCAAGATTGGATAAGCAAGATGGGGTGCAAAATCTTATTGAGGAGGAGTTACCTAATTCACCGCATCACCATGAAAAAAGTGCAAATATGGATGAAGATTGTAGTAGTTCTGAGAACAATTCAAGTTCAGCACCAGCATTATCTCAATCTGGTGTATCCTTTGAGGAGGCAAATAGTGTTAGTGCCTCTAAAGAGCAATCCGTGCAAGGTAGGAGGAGGCGAACCCCAAATGATTCAGAGGATGATGGCACTGAAGGAGCTAAACGAATGCGAGGACTTGATGACTTAGGGATGCAGGTGGTGCAGTCACTGAAAAGAAAGAGATCTCAGGTGGCACATGTTCACGAATTTCTGAAGAAGAAAAGCCGCCGTCGTACCTTGATGAAAGTTTTGGAGAGTACTGCCTTGGTTTCTGTTCCTGTTGTTTGTGAAGGAATTCCCAGTCCAACTGGATCAGGTTTTGCTGGAACCGTGCATAACAATACGTCAGACAATGGAGGATTTGTATGTGAAAATGGAACACTCAAGGCATCTGGGCATACTTGTGGATCTTCCCTTGTTAAATGCAAGCAGGAGAATGACATTCAGAGCATTCCAGAGTTGCCCGAGGATGGTTCTTTAGACTCATTATTCGATGTTCCATTTGTGACAGAAGAAAAACATTCTGGAGGTAATTATGGCACAACTGATACTAGATGTTGTTTTGCCAATTATGCATCCTGCTTGTGGATCTTCCCTTTCCACTTTCGAAAAAAGTATTGTTGACTAGATTGTGCTCCACTTAGATATATTGATCTTATTCTTTTTTGCATTCATTTTATCATCAGGCTTGTCCCCAATTGTATCTATTGCATCCCAGAAAGCTCAGCCCGGTGCTGGAGCACAATCTAGTCAAAGCAGCCAAGTTGAAACCACGTCATTAGGGAATGACGAGCTTAACGAGTCAGGTACAAGTTCAGGTAATCCAGACGTTCATGATATTTGCCAGAGAATGGAGAAGGGGACTTCGGAGTGGCAGTCAAAAGGAAAGAGGAACTCCAGGCACACGGGTAAAGGCAAGAAGCAAGATCCTGGAAAAATGATTAACCTGGATGATGAATTCAATGCACGGTTGGCAGGTATGAATCAATATGCATTTGCCTTTCTTCTTTCCAAAAGTTTTTTTGGTCAGACCACGAGGTGTCCTGAGCAGACCCTAACTGTAGGAGGCACCTTTAAGCCCTTACCATACTCAGACTCTTCTTTCCAAAAGTTAATTGCAATCTCACTCGTCTTCTCATTGTTTCAGAATACCCTACGTATCTCAAGTCAAGACCAGTCACAGAATTTCATGTCGACAAGTTCCAAGGATGGAGCAGAAATAGTTCCCACAGAGAACTTCATGCAAAGGGGCCAGCAGCCGAGTTGCTGGTTCCACAGAGGTTACTGCCATACCGTCAGTCCCGTTTTGTACTTAACCCAAAGTATGACTCGTCAGATTTCTCTCTCAGGCACCATGTAGCAGATTCTTCACTGTTTGATGTTAACCTGGAGGTGAAATCCAGCTATCGCCCGCAACATGTTCCATACATTTCATTAATGAGCAAATTGAATGGCCAACCCATCATAGGCCACCCGCTCACAGTTGATGTATTAGAAGATGGCTTCTGTGATCAACTGCTAGCAAGTGCATCTGAAGTTTATAGCAGCAGCTTTGACTTGGATGATGAGATAGGCGAGAATACTTCTGCTTCACAAGGTGTTAATACGGTTCATGATACCAGGTCAGGCTCGGGTGGTAGAGTTCCTCCTCCTAAGCATGTCAAATCGCATCATTTTGGCTCAGCCTCCAAGTCATCAAAATCAAAGAAAAACGGTCTATTCTCCAAGAAGACTCGAACATTGTCTTCATTAACTGGCTCCCACAAGCAAAGTCAAAACAAGAAACTGTCGGTACAAAAGCTTAAAGGCCCTGCCGTAGCCTGTGTTCCTTTGAAAGTAGTTTTCAGCAGAATCAGCGAAGCGTTGAATAGTCCAATGAGGGCTACCCACCGAGTAATTGGAACCAGCGTCATTTGAAGAATCCTCTCTCCCGGGATTGGTTGGCCCAAGCATCGGGATTTGGTTCATAGAAAATTTATTTGTCTAGACGGACTTAGTTTTGGCACAATAGTTTTAACTGAAAACCAATCTCTGAATGCATAAACCTCTGTTGAAATCAGGGGTATCAATCATCTCTTTGTGCTGGTGCCTCATTCATCGGCTGCTTTAGCTCTCTGTACATAAAACCATGTAACATTAGTTGAGGTGTAAAGAATGGTGATCCAAATGGTTAGGTTTTGGTGATTTTTCATAGCTGCTCATCAAATTGTTATAGGTTGATAACTCAGTTTTTAGCCCATGCTGCTGGTACAGATGGAACTGGCAATGCAATTATTTGCTTTTCTCTATAATCATCCCTGTATCAGTTTTATTCAAATTTACCTTTTATTCCCTTCAAAATCTTGAAACATGAATGAAATTATGGATTTTCCCAGCATATTAGCTATGTGAACATGAATCCATAAGCATTGGCATGATGTGAGTGGTTACAGGAGAAGAGTCATCATCATTTTCTGCTTGCCTTAAAAGATTACTGGAGGATATAAATTGCGGAATTTGTCTCAAATGTGTTTCGATAGTCTACATACCCTTAAACGTGTATAAACTGTAAACTAAATATCAATCGCTATATCAGCCTTTAAGGCACAATCCAAGCTTTTGAGTATAATTAACGCACCAATCCAAGCTTTTGAGTATAATTAACGCACCAAACACCAACGATCGAGACACAATAAGCACAACTCAATTAGTTTTAGCTTTGGTCATACAAATTAATTAGTTGATTATAATTTAAAGAAGAGTGATAAGGACTAAAATGTAATTAAGTGAAAAAACACGGGCAAATTCGGTAATTAAGTGCAACTTCCACTGAACCTCTATCGTCTAGGGTTTCAGGTTACGTTATATATGCAAATGTTCATTATTTTTTGTCCACTGTCTCTCGCAATACCTTCCAGGCCGCCGAGCAAAATCGTTGTTGTCTCTTCTCCAATCTCTCGGTAAATAGATGCAACTTGTATGAAAATCTGCACCTGTCTGCGCGCGTTTTTTTTTTTGATAATTTTCTTTGTTGGATTCTTCAGAAATGGCGACGGTACCGGGGCAGCTGGTGTGGGAGATCGTGAAGAAAAATAACTCCTTTTTGGTTAAGGAGTTCGGTGATGGCACCGCTGGTGTTACGTTTAGCAAAGAGCCCAACAATCTCTGCAATCTTCACTCATACAAGCACTCTGGTTGGTCATCAAGCTCCAGTTTTTCATTGCTTTTTTTATGAACTTAATTTCTTAGAAATAATATAATTTGATGCTTTTGTGTGTTTTGGTCTGTTCTGATCCTTTTCTTGAGCATATAATATCAAAGCTTAGTGCTTTCGTATTTTAATTGGAATGTTACTATTGCTGGAATAGTGGAATGTAATGATCTGTTTTCTTTTTCTTTTGCTGTTGGGATTACTTAATAGGATTGGCAAACAAGAAAACTGTTACCATTCAGGGGGGAAAAGATCAAACCGTGGTGCTTGCTACAACAAAGACCAAAAAGCAGAACAAGCCTGCTAACTTGCTTAACAAGTCTGTCATGAAGAAGGAATTCCGCCGCATGGCCAAGGCTGTTATCAGCCAGGTATATGCTAGACCTAATACTTCATTGAGCTCCATGGATTTTGCTAAATATTGTGACTATTTAGTCCCTTGTGTAACTAAGGATGTGATTATATTTGAATGATGAATGTTTGAATTCAGCTGTTTGTAATGTATAATTTGAAAGTTATATATACTTTCAATCATCTTGTTGATAGAAGTATATACTCTAATGTGGCCTGTAATTTTGGATTTTTCTTCCTAGCCTGCTTGCAATTTTGACTTTGCTGGCTGGCTGGCTGGCTGAAGCTTTGTCTTACCTCTCAAGTTTCTAATAATGGTGACTTTTGCAAATCACTTTTATTGGGGGAATATATGCTGACCCTGGGTAGTTGGCTCATTTTATGGACTTGTGATTTTGCCTAGACATTGAAGCAATATAGTGATAATTGCCAAGGCAAAGGCTCTATAAATGTATAGAATTTGGATGACAGTGCTTCTTGCTTGTGATTTCAGCTTACCAATACTTGTTCTGTGCCTGTTTGTTTAGTTTAAGAGTGATTGTTTGTGTTTCTAGTTACCTCGTTATAGCAGCAGAGAATCTCATTATATTGCTCTTTCTACTCGCCCTTGGACACAGGTTGCAGATAACTATTATAGGCCAGACTTGAAGAAGGCCGCCCTTGCAAGGTTGAGCGTTGTAAACAGGAGCCTCAAGGTCGCAAAATCTGGTGTCAAGAAGAGGAACAGGCAGGCTGTATGAGAACTGCAGCGTTTAAGTATCATCATCCTTTGATCATCCAGTCCAGTTTTGGATTTTGCATTTTTGTTCTTCTCCTTTTAGCTGTGGTCCTTGTGGAGATAATATCATCATATTTTGAGTAATATTAGACAGTATATTTGGACCTTATACCATTCAACCCATGCTTTTATGCCTGCAAACTATATACATTTTCCAAATATGCATTTCTCTGTGTTCTATATAAGAAGCACTCTTTTTTTCATGCCATATAACATACTTATAAACCTCAATACATTCATCTTTGACTTGTATTTCACCTAACACTTATGAGTCATTTCTCTTTGGAAGCATTCAAATTTACAAATCCAGCATCAGAACTATGTATGGAAAAACCAGCTCTAAAACCTCATTTTGCCACCTTCTTATTTGGTTCGGGAGCTTCTTCTGTCCAGGGTCTCTTGGAAGACCCATCTTCTTTTCTCTTAATCCGATTTTCTAGTTATTGTATTTGTGTGGTTCATTTGACGATTTTTCATCAGATATACTCCTCAAAAGCTGCCGGGAGCACATATCCTGTGCTTGACTTGCATTCTTTGCACGGTTTGCTCTCACCCACTCGGGCTCCTGAAATGAAGAGGACAAGTAGTAATGGCTGTGCAGATATTCCTATTCTTACTTGTTTGGTCCACAATATGATCAAATTGTAAGCATACCGCGGGAACAATGCGGGAAAACCCAGCTTTTATCAGTAGCAGAACATGTTCCATGATAAGGATTGCTGCAAGGCCAGGCGAAATTTTCCAGGTTCCATCCCGATCATATAAGCATACCAGAAGCACACAGTTTGTACATATGGACGTGACAATAAGAAACTGAAATCAAACGCTTTAAGCCATGTAAGGAAAACATGCAACAACGAGAAAAAAATGGGAAAAAAATAATGCAGGATGGCTCTCATATCAACTACAACGGAAAACAAAATTACCTGAAATATATTCAGCCAAGCACCGATTGTGGCATTTGGTCGAGGAAAAGGCCTTCTTAACATGGCTAAGAGCTTTAGAGCATCTGTTCTGATCTCGGTTATATTGCTCTGCAGGGAGCAAGCAGCATATCCTTAAAATGATCCCGAGCACATACAAGTAAACCCGTATATGAAAAAAAGTGCATACCAAAGTAGCAAAGGCAAAACCGAGTGGGAATGCACAAGCAAACATCATGATCATGCCAAACTGCAGTACCAATTCCAGAAAATCTGCAAGTAATCAGTTGAAGAAAATTACGAGTGGGGCATTTGGACCCGGCATGCAATTCAATTAACAAGCCTATATACATTATCAGACACACAAAGTTCATGCTCTCGAGAGGACATACCATCAAATAGACCATCTTCAATCTCATCTACAATACTTGCAGAATAAGCGGGCTTAAGGTATTCCTTCTCTACCCGGGAGAAGTATTGGATCTTTCCTTTGGATCGCCCTCTTTCGCTCTTTCTCTTGTTTCTTTGAATAAGGTTAAATCATAAATGTCAGATGGTCTGAAACCCCCAAAACAGACATAATGGATTTGATGTGTTCAAAAGTTAGCGGCTCACCTGACTGCTCTGTATTTCCTAAAACTATAGGTTAAATAAGGTAAAGACTTTCCCACCAGATTACCAACCACCTAAAAATAGATATATCATGATTAAGAGATGCTTAGGGATCAAATATAAACCAAGTAAATAAAGCCTACCTCGGAGAAAATTAAACGTTGAATCACAACTTGGCGAAGGGTCGAAATGTTGCGGTGCAAGAGTGCATGATAGAAAATTCCAATGTAAGTCTGCATGAAATAAAGACCAAAGACCTGCACGAGAAATGAGTTCCCAGATTACAATACCCCGTAGATTACGGGGTAAAAAAAAGCGAAAAACGAAACAAGCTCTTGTTACCACCTTGTAAACCAAACTGTTAGCTCTATATTCTACGCTCCTATTACTCTCATGTTTTACAAGCTTGGCAGATACTTTTCCACCGATCCCGGTGAAATACTGGATGACAAAGAGGTATACAGCCGTCAGACCAAACCTGGAAACAAGCATTTGCGTGGCATTATAAATGAATTGAGAACATATGTATAAATGATTCGGGAAAAAAAAAATATGACTTTTCCATCTTCATCAGAGAGGGTGAATGAAGAACTATAAAATACAACTAATCGAACGACTTACTTCAAAGTTTCGGAGGTTAAAACCTCATAGAGGTGGGCGAAAGCCAATTCAAAAGGCAGCTGAAGACAGATAATGACGAATATAATCATGGCATCGTTTCTGAATCTCATCAAGTGCCCAAACCATTCCTCTCGTTGGAACGCTTCTTTTTCTTTCGTGGTATCAGTCCCCCATTGCTTCATGAGTTCCACCGGGGCCTGAAACAGTCCCCATTCCCTCTCCACAAATTTAAACTCGGAATGCCCTCCAACCGGATAATTTATCTGCCACCTATATCGGGACAACCATATAGTATATTATCAGGTCCGTGAAAAAAGTAGCTACTAAATGCCATGTCGTGTATAGTTACCTGACAAGAAGAGCTGAGTTTTTACGTTTCCAGAACTGGAAAAATAATACTGCCCACGAGACTAGGCATATGAAGAACATGGGAAGAACAAACAGCTGTAAGGATCTGCGGGAAAAAAGAAAATGGAAATGAAAATGGAAAGAGGTAGAAATTATGGCAATATATAGGAACAGAATTTGAGATTAACCTACCCGAAATCTACAAACTGCACTGCGAGTCCTAACGCAGCGGGAAAGAACATCCATCTCGTGAACATCCCAAGAAACGTAAAATATGTAGCAATCTGTTCCAAGAAGGGATAAATATTAGGCAATCTGTGATCATGTTATGCTACGATATATTTTTCATATATGAATCATCACAAAGAACCTGAAAATAGATTGCAATTGAATTGAATATTAAACGACCATATAATTTCAAAAAATTAAAAACGCTTTAGTTTACCCTTGTTCCATAATACGAACATATATCATCAATGGGCTGTTCTGTCAAGTCCCACCAGTTCAGCGCCCAACTTCTTAGAAGTTTCTTCCTCTTCATTTCATCTACAAAGAGGCAATTATAACACTCGAGTGCATCCAATTTGCAAGGAAGTTTATAACATTTTAAGAATACCAGCCTATAAGTCTATAACCCAAGAATTAAAGGTGAGTCAATGCAAATGATGATACGAATCTGGTTGGTCCGATCTTCTCTTCACACACTAATTAAAATAATATTTTAGAACAGTTTATTAGGCTAGGTAGAGACTATACCATGCAAAGGGAAAACTTCTTTAACAATGCCCTCTGATTCTAATCTTTTAAGCAGCGATTCCCCTGGCTCCCAGCGGATTTCCTTCGGGTCAGCATCTAATGTTCTAACCGAATTGCTCCCGTTCACCTATAATGTTTGCCTTAATCTCAAATAAACAGCATATAGGGTATAGACAGTGGAGCCGAGAAAAGAACAATCAACCAAACCAACTCACAATTTTATATATCAAGTGATGATAGCAGCTGAAACGCTCGTACCAACTGAACAAGGACCCATCGGGCTGCTTGGCAAACGCTTCAACTTCGTCCCAGTCAAATTGCAAATCAACTCCTGATATTTAAAAAAATTATATATATATACTCAGAAGCCAGAAGCGGTGAAATCTTGCTTTGTAACTATAGCCAAGAAGAGAGATCATCACCAATATGAGTTCGTTTCTTCATCCGCAACTCGGCTGCAGCCAGTCCCAAAACATGTAATGAAGCTGCCAACTGGAAACAGAATCAAGAACTGTGAAGTATGATATCATAACTGGATCATTGCTTAAAGAAGGATATCTAAGTACTAAATTTGTGTACCAGGTCTCTTCTCCACACAATTACTTACATAAATAAACACAATAATGATGAAGACTAAACTGTTTCCACCTCAATAACAACCTAAACACAATTCAGAATCTACTCAACAACAATCATGTGCTACACCTAAGGTTTAGGATAAAACAAAAAGTAACAAGAAACTGAACAAACCTTGATGTATTCATTTTGAAGGCCAACAACTCTGTCCACAAGGAATCCCACCTTGTGGAACTCATCAACAAGAACCTCAACACACTCAAACCTCTGATCTTCTTGTTTCTTTGGAACCACAACCGCTATCTCAAACACAGATTCTTTATCGCCTCCATGCGCATTCATTTCCAAACCCCTCTCTCCCAACCCCTAAAACCCAAATTAAAAAAAAAAAAAAAAAAAAACGATTTTAAAAAAAACAAAGCCTTGAGCTTCCCCAGCTAACCAAAGGGTGCCCCGATTAACGGCTTGTTAAAAGTTTAAGAAGGGGAAATATCGAAAGTCGATAAATTTGTTTGAAAATTGTATAAAGATTCAAGCTTTACATGTAATGGGTCAAATCCCACCCGGATTCTGATCAAGATCAGTTTTTTTTTTTTCTAATTTCCCCTTCTCAATCTCTATCTCTCTCTCTTTTTCCAAGTGATGTTTGCTGGTTGAGGTATATATTAAATGGAGTATTAGAATTTAGAAAGAGCAAACGACAATGGATGCAAAACATATGTCCGAGGAAACGAAAAGGGTGGGAGAGGAGACACATAAGAGCTGGGAGGAAGGACACGTGGAGGTCTGCGCATGCAACCACGAATCCATACTCCACCCTATTAACACATATTCCCCAATTCCCAACTTGGCTAATACAGAATATGGGCATTTAATCTCGGTGTTTATGCGCAGAGCAATTTGCAGAGGAATACGAATATCAGAGTACAGAATAGAAGAAGATGTTTCATAGTGGGATTAGAGCAGAAAGAACATAGCGTCCCGGACATTTGGATTCGGTCTCAGTTGCAGACTTTGCAGTAATAAATGGTTGTGAAGTGACATGCAAAAAGAAAAAAAAAAAATCAAATTATAATAAATGCAGCTTCAAGTAAGCCTGTTGAAAGAGAAGGAAATGATGAATGGCAGCTGTTTCATGGAGAGGGGAACATGCACACTCCAAATTTGATCAGATAATTGAGCTTTGGTCAGGTGTTTTTTTTTTTTTTTTTTTTTTGAATAAGAGCCAAACTCTGTGTTTAATTCGGATAGAATTAGTTTCTTAATAAAGATTTTAAGTGTCATGTACATAAATAAAAGAAAAAATCAATATTTATTTAACTCTGTGTTTAATTTGGATAGAATTAGTTTCTTAGTAAAGATTTTAAGTGTCATGTACATAAATAAAAGAAAAAATCAATATTTATTTTAAGCGTTTTATTTATTTTACGCATTTTAAACACACTTTCTTACTGACGGAGTGACGATAAGAGTAAGGTTATACTCTTCTACAAAATCACTCCATAATATCAAATCATATAAAAAAAAAAAAAAAAACACCAACATTTTTTTCTAATTATCATCGATAAGTATAAATAGAGGGGGAGTCTTCATTCACAGTCAATGGTCTATCTAAAAATCCATCAATTGTTATATCATGAACCAAAGTCCACCATACACATTATAAATTCTAATTCAAATTTACCATATTATATACATGCACATAATCTCCATTTTACTGATATTTGTTGGATTCATAATGAAGTTGAAACCAAATATGTAGTAAGATAGAGGGGTGGATGAATTTATCCCTTCTTCCAAATATTCCACATTGTTAATACAAGGTGAATTATACTTGAATGAATAATTGGTTCAACAGTTCCAACACCACCTTTTACACCTTTCCCCTGTTATAGCTATCCCAAACATGGGCAATTCAGTGTTCAACTACAGTCTACAGTACACAAAACACACCATTGAGATGTGCAGTTTCCTTGGCTGCCCAAATAATGCATTAAACTGGCAGCGGCACAGCGCGATACTGCAATGCCTGACATCTTTAGTTTCATATTTGCACCAAGTAAGATGCATCTCAGGCTTGTATGAAGAAGCATTGAAGGAAGGAAGGAAGGAAGCCCGGGGGATGAGGGTGTGAAACTACACGCACCCTTGATCTGTCATGCCATTGGCAATGGTAAGAAAGGCGGAAATTGCAGCTCCATGTACCAAAGCCCTGCAAGGAATAGGAAGAAACCGTATTTGAGATCGAACTGAATCCTCTTGCAGATATCTGCTAATGGTATCTATTATCTATATCAGGTTAGTATGGGATTGAGTACTGTATCTGCTATCCAACCCACTATTGCTGTGAATCTTTCTACATCTCTAAGTTATTTAAAAAGAAATTTCAGCCAGGTAAAGGGAAATGTTAATGCTTCTAAATTCACATATATTCATACAACTGTCCCCGGGCATAGCTCAGTGGTTGAAAGGTTGAGTGTGAGTGTAGTGACCCAGCAAATACCCGGATTCGAATCTTCAATGGGTGAGGATCTCAGCCTTGGAGCAAAAAGCAAGTACTCAGACCTTGCATCATTGAGACACATCCCGCGATTTACTTCCTCTCACAATCCCCAAGGCAGGGGGGTGAGGGGCACTCAGGTTTAGGGTTTAAACCTATATATTCATACAACTCCCAAAAGGTTTTTTTTTTTTTTTTTTTTTTTTTTTTTTTTTTTTTTTTTTATGAGGGGGGTGGGGGGTTCACTATGGGCGAGGTATGAAGTCTTACTCAGGACTCTCTTTCTGATAACCGAAGTCACTTGCTGCTTTTAATGCTCTTTGATATGTCAGTTTCATTGCTTCCTGCCATCAGAAAGCAAAAGGATACAGCATCATTAATGCATTTAGAGAAGAAATCAGAAACAAAAATAATTATTTCTAACAGAATAAGGCAGCAGACAAATCTTATGAGTGATGGCTGATATGTTTTTACTTTTTATTGGTACCATGACTCCCTGGTATCCAGTAGTCACTTTGGGGTCCGACTAACTGCTGCCAGAGTGCCAGACCCTATTTGAGGGGCCAATTAGTGTTTGAAGGGACCTTCTACAATCACAAATCTAAGTAAAATGAGAGTGTTTATTATCCAGATAAGCAGATGCTAATCGGATTGGTGAACCGAAATAAGCACTCTGGCAAACTAAATGGCTTTGAGTGACATTTGCAGCCGCTAATCCTAAAAGCAATTAAGATTGTCTAAAAGTAAAAGCATTTAAACCTGTAGCTTTGATTCAAAATCCTCGGGAGACCAGTTTAAGTTACACTCCTTCAGTTCCAGTTCCCCAGCAACTACCTGTAGCAAATGGTTAGTCATTTGGTTTTCAATTTCCAGAGAACAAAGAGAGAGAAAGCAACACAAATACTACCATTTTAGTGTTAATTTTAGATAGATAGATGGCTTTCATGAAAAAAAACCAAGAAGAAAAGTCGAGCATACCCCTCCCACCCCAGCAGCCATAGAAGGAGCAACTATAACATTAGCCTTCCTCAGAACGTCAACTGCCTCAGGGGTACAAGGCATATTTGAGCCTGAAAGGAATACAAATGCAGTAAATACTAGAGGCGATAATGATTATCATCAGAAAAATAGTGAATTGACGGTGCGGGGGTGTCAATGTTAGAGGGACTGTCACAATATTCTCCAATACCTTCTACAACTATGCGACAACCCGAGTTTACCAAGTTAACGGCATCAGAATGATCAATTTCATTCTGTGAGGCACAGGGGAATGCCACATCACACCTTTCATTCCAAGGCTTTGATTCATCATAGTATTTTGAGCGAGCATAAGTTTTTGAGTAATCTCTGAAAAGTTAAACATAAACACACAGTTGAAGAACTCAAGGTCACAACTCTACATAACCAAAAAAAAAAATTTTAAATACAAACCTTAAACTTCTATGCTGAGCTTTAATGTCTCTTAGGAAAGATATTTTCATGAAATCAAATCCATCTTCATCCACCAGATAACCTTTTGAATCTGTAAAATACATTTGGAAGTTGAAAAAAGGAATACATTTCTTCAAACTATGACTTTCTAGTGCACAAGTATCTTATAAAATAGTTGCTAGAGCAACAGCACTTAACATGCATATTTTGAGACTTCAACATGTTTATCTAAATTTTTCTAGTGGAATCATGTGCAGATTGCCAGACGACTGAATATATATATATCCAACAAAAAAAATTCCAATTCACTTAATTGATATACGGAGTAGTATATATTAATCACCTGATACAGTGATGGGAACAGCCCCATATGCAATAAGCTTCTCTAGGACATGCATTGCAATTTTTCCAGAACCACTAACCACACACCTGAACGTAAAATACAAAACAGAAGTTGAACAAGGAGAACCAACGAAACAATTAACAATCCCTTATAGCTGGGCATGGATTAGTAAAGGAAAACAAACATTTATTTGTTAAATTTCAAATATTGTTTTTCATTCTAGCATATACTGCCCTCTAGCTGCATATCTCCCTATACTTTTTCCTATTTGAGATGTGAACAGAATGGGGGCCTTGGTTCTCAGTTTACTAGCAACCATAACACCGGCACCTCACTTGGAAAAATTATTTTTTTAAAAAATACTGCTGTCTTAATAAGTTTTTTTCAGGTAAGCAAGGCACCTTAGTCCTTTTAATTCTTTGTTCATGTCTGCAAGAATAAGCTGTGCAAAGAAAACCTGCAAAGTGCAGAAGCAGTCAGTTGGCTAGGATCAATATATTTTTATTTTATTTTTGTTTTCAAAGAAAAAAAGGCCATACCAAAAGAAAGGTATTTAAAACGGTTAACAGAACTGCCACAAGACAGCAATAAAGGCACACACATACTATATTAATAGCAATTCGGATATCTCTTATAGAGTATGTATTTTTTAAGGATTGCACATGCACAAAGATGTCTAGCAATACTCCCACACCCATATCAACATGCATTAGAGAGAGTGTGTGTGTTCACCAATCCATAGCCAGTAGCCTCAGTGCGAAGACTCGAGCCTGACCAATTCACTCTAGGTCCTGTAAAACTTCCCTGCATGAGTATAGATTCACTTAATCAAACTGAATTAACTAAAATAAGCACGCACTCAGTAACCAATAGATAGATACATAGGAAACCCATTTCACGCACTCAGTAACCAAGCATTTCACATCAATTACAAAAAACTGAGAAATCTAAGCATCTTTAAACCTGAGATTGACCCGCCAGCCGACGATATTGACCATATAGGAAACCCATTTCACGTGTGCCAACACCCATCTCCTCTGTGGGAAGGTCCTACATATATAAACAATCAATCAAGTAACAGGAAAACTTTTCCTAGGAGCTGAGTGAGTGAATATGAAAAAGTGTCAGGTGCCTTAAATGAAATACCTTGTCAGGGCCCAAATAACGAAATAATTCATTCATAAAGCTTTGACAAAATCGCATGATCTGCAAGTCCAGATATTAGAAGACAAAAGAAAGGTTTAAGCTTGTAAAAAATCTTAAAGCTAAATATGAACATAATACCTCACTGTCACTTTTGCCTTTTGGATCAAAATCGCTTCCACCTGAAGAACCACCTAGTCTATATGGAGATAAGGCATTCTTTAAAGTCTAGAACACAAGAAGAGATCAAAAGTTGTCAGCAGTTGTGTCAGTTATCAAATTACACCAAGCATCATGGTAGTCTTGGAGGCAAGAGATGTAACAAAGTTGTAAGTAACAAGATAAGACTTAAACTCTCTTAGCAATTTGATATGTATAACAAATTTGTTTCTAAGGCATGTAGTTCACCTCAAGTTTGAAGTCTTTATAGAAAATTAAGTAAAGGTTTTGAAAAAAGTTCATTGACAAGTCGCAAAACAATAGCCCATAAATTAATGCAGGACAGAAGTAACAAATCACCTGTTCAAAACTAAGAAACTTGGCAATGCTTAAGTTCATTGATGAGTGGAAACGGAGACCGCCCCTGCATGGACCAAGTGTCTGATTGAAGTGAATCCGAAATCCACGATTCACATGTGTCTCACCCCTATCATCAACCCATGGAACTCGAAAGATAATCATACGTTCAGGTTCTAATAGCCGCTCCATCATGCTGACATAACTATATAAAGGAAAAAGATGCTTTCAAATTGCAACAGAGTTGACAAAATTAAATGAAAGCTAAGGTTTATGAAAACAATTAATTAGGCATATAACTTACTTGGAGTTTTTTGAAATCACTCTTTCTAATGCATGAACTGCCTCTTGAATGCACTGTATAAACTCAGCTTCTTGAGGATCTCTTTTCAATGCCGCTTCAATAATTGATCCAGATGTTTTTGACATGAGTGCTTTTTCCAGATTTCAACAATCATGAATATGTCAGATGAGAAACTTTAGCTAATGGAGCACATAATGTCTGTAAACGAATAATTTAGACTACTGTTTCAGAACTTAAACCAGTGAAGCATCCATATGAACCGAATAAAAATAATTCATTAATAAACAAACACTGCATGGTGGAAGATGACTCTATGCGTAAAATTTAACAAGAGATGTTCCTTAATTAACAAAAATCCATTCTTCTTGGTTTGTTGTCAACTATATAAATACATCAATGCACAAGAATAAGAACACAAGCTATTTGCCCAAAATATGCAACTTTAACAAGATACTCATTAGAAGTATGTGGTAAACTTCATTACCCAAAAATTTGAGCTCTCGGTACCAAGCAGGAAAATGCAGATTGGAACATTCTGGGTATGTACATCAGAGAGATGAACTAAGTTTCTTGGTAACAGTAATATATGATTTCACTAGATAAAACTATTAAATGATGTGTCAGAAAGTAAAGTGAAGTTATCCTAGAAACTGAAGTTCAAACATAAAACCATTTGCCCTAAGTTAAAATGCAGCATAAAAGATCCACATTCAAAAGTTAAAATGTACAAACATACAATATATGAAGATCGGTGGAGAGAATAACTGCTACCATTTTCTTTTCTATTTTTCATTTTAACAATGTAGTTAATAAAAAAAAAAAAAAGACATGTGTGATTAACGTATATATAAAGGAAGGAAAACCACCTTTCACATATACTGGTTTATCAGCAACAAGTTTATCTTTGGAGGCCATCTGGAGACGAAGAGCCTCTTTGTGAAGTAAACTATTATTATGCTCTTCCAATGCACTCATCTGCATGTTTCTACTGCCTTCATTTCCATAAGGATTCCTTCGATGCTTCCGACCATAGTCCCTGCAAACTGAGCAGAATATCCTTGGTGTTCCATCTTTCACATCAACATAGGCCCACTTATATGTATCAGCCCATTCTTCTCTCCATCTTTTGACAACCTTTTTCTTCTTTTTCACTGGTTGTGTCTTTGACATATCCTCACTGTCGGTAGGAAGTTGAGAAACCATCATGTGCTTGTTCTCTCTGTGCTCATCAGCTGAAGATTCTTGTGGTGTAACAGCAATCAGACTGTTCTGGGCAAACGAGTGGCCATCATCATCCCCCGGTCCAATTTCCAAATCAATCTCTTCTATCTCCCTTACCACCAGGTGATGCCTCTGAGCCTGCTGAATCAAATTCATGTCATCCATTGTAGAATTCATCCCACCCCCACCGATGGGAAGCAGCATTCAGCATGACAATTTAGGAACAACTTGATTTTAACAGTCTGCAGAAGTAAACAGGGTGAATGATGAACTTGTCAGATATCCTCAGTCAAGCAACACAGACAAGTATTATAGATACTATCAATCTATTGTTAAGCACAAGAAGTTGCCATAAAATGGCACATCCAAATGCATTCTAAATTTCTTCTGTTTCTTTTCCCAATAGAGTCCTAATAATGATACAAAGGCCAGCTTTCAAAAAAAAAAAAAATGATACAAAGGCCATAGAAAGACATCCCTCCTTGGCTGGGTGAACTGGTGTCTGAAGTGGGTAACCAATAGCAATAAGTCTCAAATGCTATCAGACTCCTTTTCTCATCCTCCAAACAATACATAATCCATTCTCCCCATTATTTGATTGAGACCAATTTTATTTTATTTTTTTTGGGATTTTGACAAACACTAATCTTCCTTTTAATCTATCAGGCACATCATTACTCCAGAAATTTTCACACCACAATTCATCAAGCTCAATTGGCCAAACACGAGTTTCAAAATCCCAACAAGGCACAAAATTTCGTTCCAAGTCACACAACCCAGACTTTATCAAGCTCAACAGATCCCCTTTTCGCATATTTGCAAAACAGCAAAGTGTTCAAATTTCTCGCAACACCAACGATTGCAGCTAATCCAACTGGGATAGAATTGAAAGGAAAAGATTGTACCTGGAATTAAATTCCAAAGTCTGAGCTGCCCACGAGTCAGAAGTCAGAACCCAGTCTTGCGGCGCCGTGTTCCCACGGGCCAATCGAGGAAAAGAAACCGAAAAAAAGCTTGATTGAGTATGATCAGAAAATCCCCTGGAGCTGGGTGTATGAGTAGAAGGAAGAGTAATTAGAAAAGGAGAGTGATTGTGTGTGCATGCATGTTAGATGAATTGAGTGTATCGTCACTGCGGGTGAAAGAGACAAAGGTGGATGGATTCACAGACTTCAACTGTAACTTTGGGGCTCCAAAGCGGAGAACTCTATTTGCCCAGAATGGAATCTCAATCCTATGGTTACCGGAACTAATTTTATCATTATTTTTTTTTCCCTTATGTTAAATTAATTTTTAAAACACAAGTTGCATAATTCATATTATATATTATAATAAAAATGATTAATTATTTTCGGTTATATTGAATATATTAGTTTTTTTTTTTTTTTTTAAATCCATATACACTAATACCTACAACAAAATCAATTAATTTTACCGACCGAGTATGTAGAACACGATTCCCGACTTTTCGTACCGTCAAGTTAGGAGTCTAATTATTGTGTAACACCCTTTTAGGGCTGTCTAGTGAAATGTGTAATTTGTATGTACGCCCTCAAATAGTTTAATTTTTACTAACATCTTATCGGGATCTGCCCTGCAAGGTGCGAGGTTTATGTTCACTCTTAGTCATAAAAAAAGACTAATTTATTTCATACATTACATTTGGTATCAATAAAATTATGAACCTTACAATTACTCATGAGATAAATGTTGCTTAATTGATCACAAAATTTAATAACTCCTAAATATTTGGTAAATATGTGAATAATAGTAAACTATATTTGGCTTAATAATTAATATGTTATTTAATTATGTAAATTAAATTTGGTAAGTAACATGTCCAAGGTAAGCATATTTAGGTTTTTTTTTTTAATAAAAAAATTCCATTTTAATTTGGAAAAATGGCACTTTTTCCCTAAGTTATATACTTATAGCATTTTTTCCCCCTCAATTATTTAGGTAAGCACATTAGCCCCCTCAATTATTTAAAAAGTGGTGCTTTTTCCCCCCGATATATTAAATTGACATTTCTACCCTTAAAGTAAACATTTTATTTATTTTACTTCTTCAACAAATTATTGTGTATACGTAGGGGTGACCACAGTTCGATTTGAACTGAACCGGACACTAAAGCAATCAAATTAAAAGTTTCCGGTTATGATTCAGATCTAGAACCCAATATTTAGATGTCAATTTATTAAAATTATGTATCAAAAAATTGAATCTTGAACCGTGAACCGACGGTTCCGGATCCGGTTCGCGATTTTGAACTGTATTTATTTTAAAATTTTATTTTTTATTTTAAAATAGTATAAATTCAACAATAAATGTATTTTATTTTTTCAGTTCGGGACATGAACCGTCCGTTCCGGTTCACGATTTTAATAAACTCTAAATATTGGGTTTCGATTCTAAATTGTAATTGGAATATTTCAGTTTGGTTGCTATAGTGTTTGTTTGGTTTGAACCAAATTATGGTCATAATTTGTTGGAGAAAAAAAATAAATGAAATATTTATTTTAAGGGTAAATATGTCCATTTAACATTTCAGGGGGAAAACAACCACTTCAATAATTCAGGGGAAAAAATGCTATAGGTATATAACTCTGGGGGAAAAAGTGCCATTTTCCCATTTTAATTTTGTAGAAAATGTTATCCAACCATACTTTGGATCTACTCAACATTAATTACATTCATTAATATATCAGCATCTATCCGCTTTATTCCTTGAATGTTACTAATATTATATGAATTAAAATTTAAAATCCAAACAAATTTTAGAATTTAAGTAAATATTGATTCGAATATCAAATTTTAAAATTTAACATATAGTGTTCTCAACAACAACAATAATAATACCACACACTACACATATTAATCTGGGGTGTGGTTGAGTAAAAAAGACTCATTCATCCTTAACCAAAGGTCAAAAGTTTGATCCTTGACTTTGGATATGGAACAGTCTTAAATCTCCGGGGAACCCCGGGTACACCCAAAAAAAAAAAAACATTACACATAATTAAGCAAAATAGTTTTTCCCAAAACATATTCAAATATCATATAATTGAAAAAATTGTCAAAATATACCTTGAACTTCATACGAAAAAACAATTAAGCCTTAAACTTTAAAAAGTTACGGAGTACAATTAAATACAGCAACTTGTCATTTTTTTTGCATTTAAGCATAATAATTGTTTATCAACCGGTAATGTAGATATTTTAGGGTTCCGGCAACCGTTGCTTCTGCTAACAAAAAACGACCATCGCTTGCAAGAAGAAGAAGAAGGTGATCGGCTGGTCGCCTACTTCAGATCGAGGAAGATATCAGAATAGGAGGCTTAGGTTACTAATCACATTTCAATAAGCCTCTTTGGAAAAATCTAACCATTATGTTGAATGGCCTTCAACCATGGAAGATATGAGAACAAACTGTAGTAAGCATGGATACAGGCAAAACTGGAGAAGAAATCCGTTTATCGATCTTTGCAATATGAAGCAGCAAAGTCATTGATCATCTGTTTCAAATGCTGCAAACCGATACAGTATAATTAGAATTCAAAAAACTGAATATGTAACATGTACATGCAGAATGGATTAAGCATACATTACTTTCATATAAAAGGGATTAAATGGTAATATCTATAAATGAAAATGATGCACAAAATGGAGCAACAAAGTTAAATGATTGGAGGGGCAATCACCTTCAGTTCTTTGTGAAGCACGATGAATATTTTCTTTAGTCGTTTATGTCCCTGCAGTAACACATATTAGTATGTAAGTCAGATTTGATAGTTTAAACAGCCTGTTCATATTATTATTATTAGGAATATTAGCTAAGAAGATTGCGGGACAAATGACATCACAACAAAGCAGTTAGGTAACAATTTAGTTTAGAAGTGACTCCCCAACTTTAATGTAGTTAGTCAAGTCCAATCTCTACTTGCATTTGAGAAAGGAGAAACAAATCAGGTGGCAAAACTGTGCATGCTGATGTAGCAAGAATAATGCTTGCATATCCAATTTCAGAATTGATGGAATGCAAATGAGCCTAGTTCGGACTGACAGAAAAACAACTTCAAGAATCAACAACTGACTAAAAATTGTCCAGGACTAAAGCTTGTGTAATAGTGTTCCAAACAATATATATATATATATATATATATATATATATATATATATATATATATATATATATATTATGAGTTCTTCCTAAAGTGATTCATTTGACTAAATACCTTGCAATAGCGAGCACAAAGCAAAATGAATTTCACATCTACAGAGGCATTATGGCCCAAACTCACCACAATCACAATTTGCAATAAAAGCATTGGAGGATTACAATTCAAACTTACTGGTCCATATTGGCAATAAGAATCCTTCAACCGTGCCAAAATTTCATAGTACCTCTCCATGTCCTTTCCTTTACAGATGTCTAAGTCCTTTCCAAGTTCAAAGAACTCAAACCTAAAGCATTTGGGTAATATGCAGTTTAGAAAAAGCATGAATACCAACAAAGAATAACTCCAACAGTGCATTAAACAATCTGCAGATATTAAAAAAGCCTTCAAAATCTTGAGAATGAGCACATGATTAGAATTTCAAACCTGTAGGACTCCAAGGTTTTCTTCAGCAAGCAATATTTCTCATACTTCTCATGATACTCCTCCACATATTCTTTATATCTGAAAATCAGGGTTATATGAGAGCAAAAATTAAGAATAAGAAGGCTTTCATCAAAGAACATACATTGCTCAATGGTGCAAATGATATACAAGTGGAAATCAAGAAAATAAGATAACAAAGTGGATGGAAACACATGAAAAACTATTCATGACATGGTGTATTGCATATATGAGTATCAATCGAGAAGTCAAGAACCAGGATTAGAAAAAACGTACTGTGAGAAACCATTAATCGGTACCCTGAACTCTGGATCCTCCTTTTCATACTTAGAGAATGAACAACTGATCTCATCAGGAGAAGAATGTCTTCTCTCCTGGCAACCATCATTGCTCCTCAACAAAGAAGTATCCTTTTGCCTATCATTTAGGTCTGTGACTAAATTTATCTCCTGCATTTTGCATTCCTTAGTGACAGGAAGGCAGACTCCCTGTTCTGTGTCATGTCGTTCTGCTTCACCGGTAGAGACCTTTCCATGATTATCTCCATAAGCCTCCAGGCTCCGTTCAGTTACATTATGTTGATTTTTACTATTCACCCCAACTTTATTACTATTTTTTGCAACAACTTGATTAATACTACCAGAAATCTTTTGTTGATTCATATTTCCAGCTTTTTGCCTCTTTGTGCCATCAGGTTTATACTTGACCAACCTGTCATCATCTCGTGTCATAATATCCAAATCATCATCAGATGCCTCCTCACTGTTAGAAGGGATATCACTTTCACTGTCACTGGTACTCCTGCTTGCACCATCGCCCACAGGGCTTCTACTTCTGCTTTTATTTCCACTACCGCTGCTGTCACTTTCACTATCAGTACTGCTATCACTAAACCTACCCGCTGGCCGTTCACTGTGGTCAGGGGCTTTTTGCTCATCAAAATACTCAGGAGACAGTTGGACTAAATCAACTTTTTCTAAGAAAGTTGGTGCTTCATCACGTTTAGAATTCAACTGTTGTTGCCCTTCCAATGCATTGGTATCAGCTCTCATTGACAAGCTAGATTTCGGAACTGGAAGTTCATGCTTATTATGGGTAGGCAATGTGGGATGATTCACCTCACGAGAACTGGATAAGGAAAATTAAACATTAGAGCTAGTGAGTATTGCATCTGACAAAGATGCATACCATGAATAGCAGCAACACTGTAAAAATGGTCAAAATGAAATGGTTTTGTGGCAAGGGAAACACTGAGAATTCAGAAGAGGTATCCTAAAGGTATTAGACAAATTGTCACTGGGACTCCTTAAAATTAAAAACAATTATGGGAAACTGAGAAATAATGTTAGGAACTCAGACAGCTCAAAAAAAATTGAAGCAACTATAATTTAAGACAAAACCCAGTATATCTAACAGATGAAAAGTTAAGTATTCATTTACAGGAAAAGTCCAAACAAATAATAAATCCCCTTCACAATTAGAACGTTCTTGTTTCTTTAATAGCATTTTGGAAAGTTATATCATCCTACAAACTAAATTTTCACTGTATAGTAGCATATTACCATTGAACCTGAGTTCATAAAGTCTTACAGGTACTTTACTTTTTTTTTTTTTTGAGAACAAATTAATCCACCTAGTAAATCTTTAATTTCTGGGATGTACTTCTTGGATTCACCTGCACAGAAAAAGGAGGATACAAACTTGAGAATCATTAAAAGTCCAAATAAATTGGTAGTACCTTCCACTTCCAATTGTAGATTTCATAAAGTTTTCTATCTTCACTCCTGGTTTAAGGAAATATCTACCTGGAGCCTGAAAGGTTGCAACCTAACATGCACATTGCACACAACACATGAATGAGATATTGCAAGATAGGCAGATAACTCCAAAAAATTAGCTGAGATAAGAAATTCACTATGGTGTTTCTTTTCTCCTTTTCCAGTACATAATTATAGTGGAAGCCTGAACTAGATAGAAATCAAATCTAGTTATTAACTTCACGATGAAATAAAGCATTCTTTCCTTTGTACTTGTATAATTTTAAGTGATATAATCTTTGAATCTTTGATACTTACTTTTTTAAGAATGGGCTTAATTTTCCTTGCTGAGTTTGGAAAGGCACCTCCAACAGCTTTCTCCAAGGCCTAGTAATTAAGAAGAAATCATTTACTTAACTGATTCAGTTATAGAGTTGTAAAGAATTATCATATATGAACCCCAATCAACTACCCTATGCAATAACCGGGGAGTCACAGACAGAGAAAAGAAAAGCTAGTGGATCCAACTCTTGCACAAACTAAAAGCTAAAATAATATCTCGTTGAATAAAGTTGTTCACATACTTTGAGGGTCATTCCATTTGACTGGTTGTCCATAAGGAAAGTTATCAACATGCACTGCAGATCAGAAGGTTTGGAACTTGTGCTCTTCTTGCCCCCTGGAATTCCCTGTGTCCCACTACTAATCACCTTGTTAGGAGGGTCTCTTGCTGCATGAGGCATAATTTGGAAAAAGAACAGGAAATGCAAAACACATCATTACTTTGGAATCAAAAGCTATAAATCAACTAATCTAAAACTTAACACATGCTGGATGGAATACTTGGGGAAAAAAATCCATTAAGAACCCACTAGACTTGAATCCCAACTACCTGGGGGTGGTTCAACTTTTCTCTTTTTATGGGGAGGTTGCTGCAGAGTCATTTTAGATGGATTGCCTGAAAAACAAGAATTTCACTTTGGTGAAAATGAATTATTTTTACAGGAAAGACTCATATCTTCCATGATATCACACACCTTGCCTCAACAAGGTACAGATACATAAATAATTCAGATGCCGGAAACAAAGGCTTACCTTCTACAGTAGCCCTTGCCTTCACTTGACTCTTTGTAGATGGATTGCGAGGATCTAAAATAATGGTTCTGTATCCAGAGGGTACCAATAGCATAAGGATAATGATATAGTGAAAATAAGCAAGGCATTGCTACAAAGTTACTACAAAATCCAATAAATGTTCACTAAGCAAATCTTTATTCAATAAAACACACTAATTATGCTCAGGAAAGGAAAATATACTTGCGTGATTTAGACTTGCGTTCGGCTTCCTCAGATAGCATTTTAACATGGTTTTTAGTTGATTCATCCAAAACACGCTGTACATTCACCTTTCTCCAAGCACTACCAGATTCCACTAGCAGGCTATTTCCATCTTCCTCACTTTGGCGCTCTTCATATATGTCACAGAGGTCTCCCCTATCCTGTGACCATGTAAATCTGAAGTCTTTACCGCCAACATTAATAACCTGAAAAGGACTGACTTCAATGCCTTGAACAACTGGTAAGAGCATGCTGGATCTATATGCAATTATCATATAAACTAATAAATATATTTGCCACAGTAATATTGACATGGAGTCTATCAGACCTTCAAACTTTCTCCCTATCCAACCTCTCAAGTAAACTGAATGAAGCTTTCCAAGAAAAGAAAAGTATTATGTTCTCTTCTAGTTTTATCATGAAAATAAATAAATAAAGAAGATAAAATGTAATAATGAGATCAAGTTGGGCTCAATTTTCTCATGCAAGAGGTGTGACCTTCAGTCTGCACCTCCCTGATTGATATTTCACTGGGTTCATCCACAGTGGATGACTCTCCATGCTGCCTGTAAAAAAGTTCTGGAAACCAGTTAAAGCCTCAGCAGATAAAGCGTTTTCCCTTATCAACCAAACAGGGTAAATGAATTCCAAATGAATAATTATTTATGAGATGGAGACTGTGGCTGCTTGAGAAACTTCTGAAGATGAAATTGAACTTCAGTTGTAAGCAAACAATTCACCTTGTTTCTTAATCACTAATTCTAGTGTGATAAACCCTCAATCCCATTCATCCAAAAGATGCTACCCTTTATGTCGCTATAATTCAACTGAATAATTTTGAAAGCAATGCATTCCCGACTTCTCCATATTGCAGTGAAGTCCGCAGAGTGAAACTCCACGTTTACAATAAAACTTCTAGCATCAGAGTATAAATAAGATGATATAAATAGACAAATATAAACTATGAAATCTTACATTCCCGGCCGAGTTATTAGCATTTGCGCCAAATTTGATCCGCGGTGTACCCCCATGAGCCTCCGTGCGCTTGATCTCCTCCACCAGGTCCGGCGCCAACCGAATAATCATGGCGAAGTGCAAAGGATTCCCGCTGACGAGGCTAAAAGTCTCCTCAGCAGCATTGGAAGGAGCAGATGGCGTGGGACCGACACTGCGATTGCGGGGAGCAGCTGCTCCACTGCCGAGTGAAAGACGTCCGCCAGGTGCGGCGGAAGACCTTTGAACAGCCGGCGTTCGGAAGGAGGAGTTATTGTTGCGCTTGCCAGCGCCTCCGGCGCCACGGCGGCCGCGCTTTCCCCCAGACATTTCGCGCCCAGCTCAAAGTGGTGTGACGAAGCTCTTCGGTTCTCACTTCGGCACTTCCGTTTACAATAATATTCGATTGAACTTTCAAATTTTTAATAGTTACCATTCAACACGTGAACATACGGAGTATCATAGGCCAGGACTATGTGGTCTAATGGTATCCGGGTTGGACTTCCATTTGGAAGGTTGTAAGTTCGAATCTCAGTGGAGGCGTTATTGGCTCTTTGTGTTTCAGTAGGTTGAGAAAGTATATGAACAGATACTACACCCTACAATGTAATAGAGCTACAAAAAGTGTAATCATAATACAATTAGGTTACTAACTTTTAAAAAATTACAATTGAATTTTTAAATTAACTAATTTGATGCAATTAATATACTTCGTAGGTTTTTTAGATTTCTAAGATGTCACTTCAAATTTAAAATATTTTTTAAAAATATAGAGTCATTATTTAAAAATCTCAGTCCACTACGTTGGAACCACCGCCCACAACCGTCATGTCATGCTACGCCTCCAAAACTGGGATCTCGCGCCAATTTCGACATTCATTTCCACGACTTCTCCTTGCCGCCTTTCGAATTCAATTACTTGTAATATTTGTGTACAAGTAATTAGTATCACATGATTAGAAATTCAATTCTTGTTAATATTTTCATGATTGATTGATTGAATTCGTCCCACAAGAGCAAGAAATGTTATAGATTGTTAATTAATCTAAAAGACATAGTAGATAAACTATTTTATGTATTCATTTATTTTTATGATGTTACGATATTACTCTTTATTTTCTAATGTTATGTTCTCCCTTTATGTATTTTTGACAACACATAAGGTACACATTTCAAAAACAAACTACATTATAACTCACATTATTATTCATTTTTTTCATACCAATATTTCAATTTAAACAAATAATAGTTGTTTATGAGTTTGTAAGTTGTAACACGCAAATAGTAGTTTGATTATTTGTGCGAATTATTAAGATAAATTATTGTGTGAATCATGAATGTAATATACATTTTTAATATATTAAAAGTACATTAATTGGGTACTAAATATATATTATTTGATAACATATAAAAAATAACATATTTTTAGTATATATATTAAAAATGTACTTTTTGTTTATGATTTACACAAAAGTGTGGACCATGGTGCATGGAATAATAATTGAATTATTTATTAACCTTCTTAATTTGAGCATTTCAACTATATACAATATAAGTTAATTTACATTCGTATAATTCCTTACTAGGGAGGAAAATATGTTAAGCCCTTCATAAGGGTCTATAGCCTGGCCTATTTAGTAAAAAGGTCAGACTTAGACATATTTCAAAGCATGTTTAGTTAAATAGACTCAGACCTATATATACAATGTATGGCTTTCAATCTTACAAGCTTGACACACACACGCATGCGTGCGCGCACACACATACACTTAATACAACACAAGTATATATATCAATTACTAAACCTCTACCCCCGTCCCGCCATCTCGAATTGTAAATACTAATTTGTAAATTTGTCTCTTTGATCTCACTGTTTTCCATGTGATTGCTAGACGAAGATTCTTAGCCATTGTCCAGGTAAATTTATAAATCTTATTTCTTGGTCACTGTTGTCACTAATTTTGTTTTGTTTTTTTTTTTAGGTACAACGAGTATTAATATTAAATAGACTTTTAAACATGTTTCAAGCCAGCCAATTGTAGACTTAGGTTTGAGCCTAAAAAAAGCGCCAACATACAGGTCCGTGCTCATACTCATACTCAAGCCTTAAATTTCTATAGTATGTCCAAACTTAATTTTCTAAAATTAAACTCGACCCAACATATTTTCATCCCTATTCTTACCAATTAAGATCATAAAAATAATTTCACCAGAAAATGCACAGTAAATAAAAGTACACAGAATTTTTATATCAGGATTCACAATGCAATATAAATCATGGTCCATACTATAACAATTGGTCAATTCTCATATACAATTGTCAACTCTCTCAAATTGTATTCAAGTCATTCATAAATAAAGATAGGAGAGATTCATTAAATAAAACATATTTTGATCCATGTGATTTGGTTAATGGTCCATCTACTTTGCCATCACGGATTGAGGGCTTTGTGGCCCATGTTGGGGACCAAAGGGCCAATTGGACAGCCCTTCCTCCTACTTGACAACAATCACATCCAATTCTTGCCATTTCAAATTGGCCTTTCCAACTTCATTACACTGGAGATGGAGATTGATGAATTCAATACACATCTACTAATCTACTAAAATATAGAAAATGTCAACGATGGTAGAATTTTAGACAAATTATTTTGTAGACCCAGATCCAAAATATATAATTTACATACTGAATGTTCACAATTCAAATTGTGAATGTTCAGTATGTATTCATTTGTGCAAATTGCCTGTATTCTTATTTGTTTTATCCGTACATTGCTTAGGGTGGTTACTACTTACTACCCCATTCATTTATGGTTTGCAGTGCATTGTGGTACAAGTACTACTACAAATCGGTCATAAAGATTAAATTGGGTGTGGGGCACAAATGGATCCACACCAAAATTGAGATGTTGCTATTAAAACAGACCAAAAGAGGAAAAGATACAATATCCATTGGAGGCAAATATATTCATCTTGTCTACCCCTTGGTGGACAGTGGGGGGAAGGATGCAAATGATGCATTTTGGAACTTCCTCATGCTCATCTTCAATATCTTTCTTCCCACTCCTTCCCATTATCTCTCACCATCAAATCACCATTATACACTAACCCTTTAGGTCAAACCACTCAAAATAGAAAAGCTAGCATCGAAGGGAGTGATCAAGTGAGCAGAACTAAAAAGTTACGAGTTCGATTCGTACCAAAATGACAACACACTATCAATTGAGTCCGTCACATACAGTCATTTTAGTGTAGTTTACTCTTGGTATGAGCCGATTAGCTATGAACAACATAGGTTGATTTACATCATTGGGGTCTTTTACTGACTAAGATCATAAGGTTGATTTCACCAATAGCGAACATTTGAGTAGTGGTTACGAACTTTCCTGTAAATCAAAATGTTAGATCTTTATGGTTTGAGATGGTTAAACGGTTAACCATGAACAACCTAGGCTGATTAACCTCATTGACTTCGTTGTAATCCATTGTCAAGTAATATCACAGGACAGTATTTGTACATTTGGATAGCGTATATAAATTTTAATGTAAATCAAAGCCTAGGACCATGTTGGCTTTGTACCCTTCACCATTCACTTTAAGAAACGACTGAATATAAGAGACATGAATGTCAATCGGAGATAATGCTCTACAAGGGTAAAAGAAATCATGGCATATCATTCTTTTTTTCAGCATCAAATACATAAAAGAAGCCCCTAAAGCACACACAATGTTGTATGTAAACTCTACTCATGCACACCAAATCCTTACAAAGTGATTTAAAATAAATAATCCCACAAAATTAGCAAATAAATCTCTCTTCCAATACTTAATAATTTTACTTTTAAAGTATAAATCTCTCTCTGTCTGTCTGAAATTAATTACTGGAAGTTGGAATCTGGTGTGTACATGGCAAGATCAGGCCAGTCATTGTTAACTCCGGTCCAACCGTTGGGCGAATCTCCACCGTCCGATTGAACACCGCCCAAGAATCCCTCTGTATTATTCACATTCTGAAAACCCATTCCCATCCGGGCCGCACCATTCGGGCCCGACCCGGGTGCGGGGTTCTGGGTCGGGTTCCCGGGGAACTCGCCCAGCTGCAAATCCGACCCGTCAAGGAAATTCCCAAACTGCCCTCCGCTCGTCGCCGTCAAAAGCGAGGTGAAACTGGCATTCATATTGAAAGGCGGAAGGTCAGCCATCCCGTACGCCTCCGACTTCGGCAGTTGCACGGCCTCCCGCGGCGGCGGAAGAGGGAGCTGCTGCGGCGGAGGCGAAGACTCCGCCGCCGCCGCCGCCGAGGAACGCTTAGAAGAAGAAGACGACGACGGCGAAGAGCGCTTGGCGTTCTTCCGGGAGCCGCCGCCGACGGGGATGTTCCGGAGAGCGCCGCCTTTGGTCCAGTAGCGGCGGCAGTTCTTGCAGAAGTGGCGCGGCTGCGAGAGGTTGTAGTTGTTGTAGTAGCAGAACTTGGTGTTCATGGAGTCGCAGCGGGGACATTTCAGGTGCTCTTGCTCCGGGAACTGCGGCTTGATCTGCGTGTATATCGATGGGTCTTGCATTTCCCCAATTCCCCACCTCCAAAACACCAAAAAGCTTCAATCTTTAAGCGATCCACCGATATGGGTCACAATAAAAAATCAATCTTTAAGCCAAGTTCTGGGGTTTACTGTGTATCACATTTGCAGGCTTTGGGTGGCTCTGAAAGAAGGATATTTCCCACTATTTTGCACTGAGGATCTGCAGAGATATAACTTATAAGCAACTTTTTTGTTGAAATTTTGATTCAAAGATTTCAGCTGAGGTGGGTGGTAGGGGGGTAGGGAAGACAAAAAAGTCAAGAGTTCATCTTTCACTTGCACTCCCCAACCTACACAATAAAGGAAGATCAAACTCCAAAAGCAACAACTTTTCAACCCAAGAAGAGAGAAGAAGACTAGAACATTGACATTTCCAGAAGAAGAACAGATCAAATATGAAATATGTTATTCCCAGCAAGAAACAGAGAGGGGGAGAGAGGAAACAGAAAGCAGGCTGAATTTGGTTTGGATGAAGACTGCCTGATCTGATAAATAGAGAGAGGAAGAAGGTAAGAAGGCAAGAAGCCTTCTCTCTCTCTCTTGTTGTGGGGTGAATTACAAGTTATACAACTCTACAAGCAGATTATGCTTAGTTAATCAAACACTAATCCAGATTATCAACCTAATCTGAGATTGAAGGTGTATAAATACCTAGTTTTGGAGAGTGTATAGATGCATGTTGTGTTGGGATTGGCTCAGGCTTAAATGGGGAAACGACAAAAGAGCAATTAATATAGCCACACAAACAGTAAATAAACCCTGGGCATTGATGAAGGGGATACTTAATAGTTAATTCTGATTATCACTTTGTCCTTGGGTCGCAAATAAGGATTAGTTTTAATATAGAGAAAATGACAATTTTTTTCCTTTGAGTTGTTTACTTATAGTAAATTTTTTTCTTGTGTTGTTTAGGTAACCACTTTATCCTCTCAATTGTTTTTAAAATCTAGAAGTTATATTGACTCAATTTATCTCCTAATGTGAGTCATGACTTTGGGACGAATTCATAAGTCTAGAATATAATTCTACAAAATTGAAATACTTAGGGTGTGTTTGAAAACTCGGAAAATGATTTCCAAAAATCATTTTCCGGGTTTCCAATGTTTGGAAAGAAGGAAAATTTGAAGTCAACTGAAAATGAGCTACTGGTCAATGGAAAATGAGCCTATTTTTAAGGAAAACAACTTCCTCTTTAAAAAAGGGGAAATCATTTTCCGGATGTTGACTTCTTTATTTCTTCACTTGAAGAACAGTTGACTTTCTTCATCTTCATTGGCTTCTTTATCCTTTGGCATTTGGGCTCACTGGTTTCCGGCAGGTTTCCGCCGAAAACCTGAGCACTGGTTTCCGCCGGAAACCAAAGGTTTTTAAAAAAAAAAAAAAAAAAAAAATAGTAAACAACCCATCTAGTTTTCGCACAGAAACCAGATCTTGGTTTCCGGCGCGGAAATCATGTCATGGTTTCCGGCGCGGAAATCATGTCATGGTTTCCGGCAGAAACCAGATTTTGATTTCCGCCGGAAAACATGAATATTATGTTTGTTTGTTTTTTTTTTAATAAATAATATTATTTGATTTTAAAAATAAATATTATTTTTTATAATATTATTGTAAATTTTATATATTTTAAACAAAATAATTAATTATATAAAATGTTTAATTATACAATTCGACATCATTTTTGAAAAATGAGCCAAACACCAAAAGACAGTTTTCCATTGTGCAGCCAAACACAGGAAAGGAAAATGACTTCTGGAAAATGACTCATTTTTCAAAAGTCATTTTCCAGAAGTCATTTTCCTACTTTCCAAACGGACCCTTAATGGTAAACAAATGAGTAAAACAAAATTTTTGTATTAAAAAATTACGAGCTAGAATATAGTACCAGTAAATTTTCTTTCTCACCTTAAAAAAAAATATAAAATTTGTGAACATCTTGTAAGTTGTAATAAAATAATGGGGTTTGGGAATAATTAGATTCTCCATTGTTGGCTGCTTTTGTAAGCCACCAAGAAGGTAATACAGTAGTACGTGCTATTCAATATTCATCCGTCAACGCAATTAACGTTGTTTATTTCAAACCGGGAGACCATATGTCAATTTGTTGTCTTCAAATTTCAAAATGGTCGCTAAAACCTTAAACATGTGATCATTAACATTATTAAAAGCAACTTTTACTAAAAGCCTTAAAACATTCTAAGAATTCTTTACACATACTCAGATTGAGGCTTTAGTTTTTTTTTTTTTCATAGTGAGCATAACATGGTGACACATTGACTGGTAAAAAATACGCATTTAAGTACCATTTTCACTAATCCAAGAAAAGATATAATATTGTCTATATAAAGATTATCTTGGTGACGACATAATCGACATAATGATGAAATATCTGTTCCCTACACTGGGTTTAAACTTGAGACCTCTTAGATAAGGGACCACAACTATGCCGCTCAACCACAAGAATTCTCATTTGAGGTGTATGTAACATATTAAGCAAAGAATAAAATTGAACAATGTGACTAAGAACGATGAACATCTTTAACTTGTGTGTTTTAATTGATTGGGAGCGTAGGTTTTGTCGTGTGTGAGGGATGGAGGGATTAAGGAATGTCTTAGTCACACAAGATATGATAAAGAGCAAATACCAATTTTGGTCATATGAGTATTAGTAAAATGACAGTTTTGGTCCACATGTTTAATTCCTACCACGACTATTGTTTTAGTACCAATTTTCATCCATAACTATTGTTTTAGTGCCAAAATTCATCCGGTTACCCCTTCGTTTAAGACATGCCGAAATATGAAATTATTAAGGGTAGTTTCGTGCTTTTCAAATTAGGATTCATATTTGAGCATGAATAAGGGGATTTAAGCCCTAAGATCTATCCCAATTCGCAGTTTTCCTCCTCAAATTAATGTAGGAGCAGATCGGGATCAATCTTTAGGCTTAAATTCATTTATTTATGCTCAAATTGGAATATTAAGTTGAAAAGGACGAAAATGTCCTTAAAATTTTTAGATTTTGAGATGTTTTAAATAGATGGGTGACCGATGTGATGAATTTTGGTACTAAAATAATAGTCGCAAAAACAATAGTCGTGGATGAAAATTGATAGAAATTAAACATATGGACTAAAACGGTCATTTTGTTAATACTCGTGGGACTAAAATTGGTATTTGCTCATATGATAAATGACTCTCTACTCCTAAAATAATCCTCCGAAAACCTAATACACTGTCACGGCTTATTGGTGGCTAAACTCGTGAGAGCCGCCGAGTGACGATTGAGCCAACGGGGTCCGTTCCTCAATCTCACCGTTGATGGGAGTGTGAACGGAATGAGTCGACATTCGATGCAGAAGGCTGAGTCGGAGCCGAGCTTTGCGTGCGAACGAAGCAGAGTATTATTATTGGAATGAAGGTGATAGATCCGGAGCGTCGATGAGGTTTGAGTTGGAGAGATCGGGGCCGCAGGTTAGCGAAATCGTAGCTTTGGGTGGCAGTAAGCAGTGGCCCAATCCGAGAAGGAACACGTGGCAGAACCCCATCATCACTACTTGCTTTGGGACTGACACAGTGAGCTCCAGAACTATTTTTGGTATAATATTACTGCGTATATTATATATGTTTGACGGTATTGAATCTCTTCTGTGAGTGCCCTTTGGAGTTTGGCTTGTCAACTTTGGGGCACTGCAGACGCGTTGCAAGGACTCACCTTCGTGGGTTTCATTGAGTCAAACTTGCGGACTTCTAGCCAGGATAAAAAATCGTGCTCAGAGTGTTTATATTGTGGAGTTGATTATTTAAATTTTTGCAATATCTTTAATTCTGTTAGTAAGGACTTATCAGGTTAGTTTGGTGGTTATGTAATTTTGTTTGATTGTTATCTTTGGGGTGTGGAACTCTTACCCCTTTTTGTATTTCGAATTTGATTTAATACAATTTCTTTGTTTTTCCTCACAAAATATATCTTTTTTTAAAAAAATACTCCGTATTATATTATCATAGTTACCGCATTGTCATTTTAACTTAATCTTGTCATTAGGACATTAGGTAGGTATAGTCAATGCGTGTTGTCATCAGACAACGGAATTAACCTACATATGAATATGATGAGTCATATAACTCATGTTCTTAATAATAAGCTCCTAATTAATAGAGATAATACAATCAAACGGTCTCTTAACTTGTTTCTACTAATAAACTTTCAAATAGTAGAAATAATAGACCGATCTTGTCTCTACTAATGAACTCCCAAATAGTATAAATAATATGGTCAAACGGGTCGCTCTCTAGTTACTATATTTATTTCATCCTATAAACCGCTTGCAACAAAGTGACAACCCATAAAAATGTTGTTCACAATCTACTATCCAGACTTTATATACCAGTCCTCAAATAATGCAATTTGGCTACCAAAAGGTCAAACAAGGGATGAGTATACATATGCAACACAGAAAGAAGGGAGGAGCGGAGAGTGAAAGAAGCATTGGTGATGGAAATGGAATGGTGCAGGGATGAGATGTATGAAGTCAAAGTGGAGAAAAAGGAAAGGAGGGCAGTGGGATATGATATGTCAGATTGTCAGGTCATGTCTGAATGTGAATGGTGTCAAACCCGCGTGCACCACGCCGCTGCTAGCGTGGTCTCACCCCGGTCCCCGCCCACACCACTGCCCCCTTTCCTACTCACAATCTTCATTTACTTGTCAGGATTTGCAAACCCACTTACAAGAGGTTTTGCACACCACTAAAAAAAACAACAAAAGTAGCATGACAGTACTGACACGTAAATATAAAGAAGTAAAATTAAACATTTATTATTAGCATTGGCAATTTGGCACTAATTACTTACATAAGTATATTTGGCGTAATAATAAACGCTATAGTGAACAGTTTAGATGGATGCATATCTAACATTACCTGACTGATGCTCATTATATAATTAGCTCCAACAATGAATATAGAAGCCAACCAAAGGTAAAATCTACACTTTGCTTTTTTACAGGGAGTAGAGAAAATTTAGCTGTTAAGACACCTCTATACCAGAGCATGCAAGAACTCCAAGAAGTATATGGGTAAATGAAGACCAGAGGCATTGAAATTTCTTTTACAGTAAAATGGGGTGGAAAAATTACTTTAGTTGATAATCTATTAAAAAGCACACTAAAAATTATCCTACCCAAGAAAAAAAAAATTAATAATCACGACAATAACTCTATCCCAAAGAAGTTAACATGCTTAATGCCCTGCAAGTTAACAGCAGCTCCTTCCCAGCAAGATCTACATTTACTGTACTAGTAGCAATTTTGCACATCCAACGGTTTTCTTGTAGGAGAGCTACAATCGACATTCTTTCCTGACTTTCATCACAGCACAATAATAACAAAATTGCAGCTTCCAATTAAAAAAAGGATAAAGAAAGCGAAGCAAAAAAAGGAGGGGAGGGGTAGTGGTGGTGGTGGCAGCGCTTTGTTGTTGCTTTGTAATTGATTCCCTAGGCACTTCTGAACCTTCATTGACTTTAAAACTTGAAAGCACAAGCTCTGCATCAGTGAGGCAGTTGAATGTGAGAAATGGTAAAGCCTCGAGTTGCTCCATAAGATGACCTTCCCAGAAAGCAACCAGAAAAAATGCTAACACCAAGAAACACATTCTTCCTGTAAATTTCAAGCATAATACATATACAAGCTGTTTGCAGCAGCACAAGCAATTGAGTTTTCGGTTGGATGCCAGGCTAGATGGAGAAGTTTTGTTGTGAAATCAAATGAGTTCCCATTTGCATCTCCACCCGGACTTTCAGAGCCTGTAATACAATCATCCCACGATTTCAGTCTCTCTTACTAAAATGGAGGGGGAGAAAGTTATGCAGCAATAATACATGCTCCAAAAAAATTATATAGGCAAAGAAATCAATTTGCAAATTTCAGACCTCGCCTGACAACGCGAGTTATGCTACTACCCTGGGATCTGGCAGGTCTTGAAGGGGTTTGGGCTTGTCTCCTGAATGAGCATAGTCAAAGGTTGTCATTAACAGTAAAATATTGCAAAATCTAGTTTTCATCCCAAAAGTGTCTCAATACAAATACCTCATGGGATTTTTGCTTGCTTCCAGTGTGGTTGCTTCAATACTTCCCGCAGCAGAGCCAAAAACACGGAACAGATTGCTGAAGCAACAAAAATTATTATTGGAGAAATAACACAAAAGTGAAACAATTGAATACAAGCAATGAATCTGCAGGCCATGTGGATACCTATAGGAACCTGTAGCTATCCGCAGGCCATCACCGCTCAAGCAGCACTCAAATTTATCAAAGATGGAATCATTCTCATACAAATCACAAAGCTGCATGTCATCAAATTATACCCTCTAATCAGCAAAGTTACTGGGGGTACGGAGAAAAATAAGTCACAAAAACCTTTGCTTGGAGAAGTAATTCACCTTTGGTCTTAGATGTTCATGAACCTGGAAGGTAGCAACTGGACCAGAATCCATATTTATGTCCCACAACTGAGAAGTGAGGTGAAAGTAATTAAACAGCACCAAGAGTAGCAGAAACTTTGACAATAAAATTGCTTCAAAATAACCATTTCAGATCACAAATACTAAAATTGTAAGCATATAACCATAGAACAAGTAGCAAACATCATCCATTAGTAGAGATTATGTCTCAATCTCATTTTATATGTCTTGTTCAGTTAATGAGTGTTGATTCAAGTTATCTACATTAAAAAAAAATTATATTATTTAATTTAATATCAGTGAATAAAATTTAATATAGTTAGAAACTATATTAAAAGTGAAAAAAAAAAAAATACAAGGAAAGGTTAAAGAAAATAAGTGAAAAAAGAAAAGTTGATTTGACCATTGAGTTGTAAATATGACACAAATAAAATGGGAAAAAGGAAGTATATACACACAATGCAAGGAGCATATAAGTGAAACTCAGAAAATGTAAATCCCTAAACAACCTTGAGAGTCATGTAATCACGACTTAGGATATATCTTCCATCCCTTGCAAATTTAATATCAGAGATTGAAGCAATAATCTCAGTAAAGAAAGATCTTGAACCAGGTGCCTCCTGTTCCTCAAACCTATAAGCGCATTAAGAAGTGGTTTAGATATATATGGTTCAGCCCATTCAATTAGCATGGCTGGAATTGATAAATAAATGTTGATGGTAATGGATCAAACCTTCACACAATTTGAATCTTAGTCTCTAATTAGCATAAGAAAATAACAATAAAACCAGCAGGATAATAAGTACTCACAATTTAGAATGTGAATCACACAGTGCTGATTGCCGTAAATCTATGAGACGAATTGATCCTTTTGAACTACTATATGCTAACATGTTACAGTGTGTTGGGTGAAACTCTGCTGAAGTTATCACCTCTGCAACAACAAACATCTCTAATTAAAGATTGAGCATGTATCATGACAAAACAAACTCAAGATTAAGAAAAACCATGAGCTCATTGGCATTTCGAGGCACTTCTAGTTTATTTGCCTATCTAACCATTAGGCAAATAAGGCTACTCTTGATAGTACGAAAAAAGCAATTCAGTCATCTGTCAAGCAAATAAATGATGTGATTATGTGAATACAGAAGCAATACATCAAATGGTAAAATATAAATACTAGAAGTGAAGCATGGTTGAAATTGACTTATGGAACTTAACATGTTTAATTTTCATAAGAGAATTTGGAAGGACTTGGCAGCAAGTTGAAATAATGCATCAGAAAATAGAAATACTGTCAGATAAAGCAAGAGGAGGAATCAGGATCAACAAACATAGAGAGAGAGAGAGAGAGGAGAAAAGTAGTACTTTCAACAAATAGACTAGTAGTAGCTTAGGAGCTATTCAGGAAATTAAAACCATCAAAAAACGATAACATTTGATTCATAAAATCTGTTATGTTGTGCACACTCCAAACGGACTTTAAGTGAACATGTCTTAATTAGGTAAAAAAGGCTGAAGATGAATAAAAACTGGTATGGCTCTGGCCCTTTTTCTTGGGCTAAAGTGGAATTGCAAATCAAATTATGAAACTAAACTAACCTGTTAGGTCTTCCATATTTGATGGCTTCATATCAACAATATTGAAACTCTGGCTACTTATTTCCAAGTTCCAAAGGTTTATCCGCAAATCATCAGCCGATATAAATGTTTCACCATCACTATTTACAAAAAGTGAAAGCAATTAGCATAACTTCTTAGAAATTGCATTTCACAGAACTGCAGCTACACAATCAAAAAATGTATGCTCACCTGTTATTTGAAATGGAATTTATATGATAGTCATGGGCATGAGCATACACTCTTCTACACCTTGCAACAAGGCTAGTCTCAGCGCTAGAAACCTATAAACAAAACTCATAAGTTTGCAATACAAAAAGAAATGAAAACAAATTTATGAAATTAGGTATGCAAAATGAAAGAATACAAAAATCTATTCAACAATTCATATGGTCAAACCCCACACCCTATGCCTAGGGCCCTGGGTTTCAAGGAAAAACTTACGAATTTATTTCCACTGATGAAGCTAGAAAAAGAGAAGTAGGAAAAGGAACCTATATAATCGCATACAATGATACAAATGTGTTTCTGCAAATAAATATAATTGTATGTGCACATATACAAAAAATACTGCAGAAGGCGCCTACATAAAAAATAAAATAAAATAAAATAAAAACTGATAAATTTATATAGCTGTATGGATGCATATACAAAAATTAGTGCAGAAAGCATCTAGGTCTTAAGTAAAAACAGATGAATTTATCTCCTCTGATAGAAGCAAGAAAAAAAAAAGTAGGAGAAGGAACCTATACAAGCACATACAAATGTGTCTACAAGTAAATATAGCTGGGCTCGCACAAAAATAATGTGTCTTAAATGGTACACAAGGCAATAATAAAGTAATTTAAACTTCTTGCACACTACATTTGGAATCAATCCACAATTAAGTACTTTCAAAGGGAGATAAAGCTGGCAATCCACCATGGGAACCTGGTGATGATTTTTTTATTCTTGCTCCCCGGTAGGTTAAATGCATGTACAAGTCCTTGCTTGAATTCCATGCAGTAAAGTGCACTGCTTCACTGCAACTTCATAAACTCTTTGGTTCCATACTACTTAACCACAAAAGGAGTAGATTCCTACATCCATACATTTTCATATACATATATATCTTCCTTGTTAAACAATAATTTCATTCACAGAAAAGCACCAAGAAGGTGCATACAATATGTTCCAAAAAGCTTACACAGATCAAATATAAATATTATAAAATAAACAACACGCAATTGGACATTACCAGATATGCATGTGCAAGACAATATGATTAGGGTAAGTACAACTACCACAGGTAAGCGGAGTGCAGCTCTGGTATCGGTAGGAAGTGAGATGTTGTTGCTCAAACAATTGTAAGATTTATCAGGATAGTTCCCATTTTCAAGACGCTGTTTCGGAATCGAGGAAACACTTGAACTTGCGATATCGCCATTTCCAACCACTCTAGAAGGGTCAGTATTCATAACTGATACTTTCTTGAGTTTCTTCTCTTGTACCTGAATAAATAAGAACAAAAATTAGCAAATAATGCAATACATCAGCCTAAAGCTGCAAAATGAATCACAAGGAAGCAAGGTTTAATATGCCATTTCAAGTAATATATGACCCCACGACCACGGTAAAATAGAAGCTTCAAATTGAATGAGATCATATACCTTCCAAAACTTTATTGTTTTATCATTAGTGGACAGAACGAAGAGCGCACCATTAGCTGTCTGGCACCACCGTATCTTGTTTATTTTCTCCTCAATCTCCAAACTCTTGAGATAATCAAACTGCAAGCAAACACGACAAAGAACTCATTACAGCTCTACTTGACACCCTATACCAATAGATATACAAGATGGAGGTTATAAATGACTCATGCCATCAGGCAGTTACGACTAGAAGCTTCAAAAGCTTGAAATGGTCAATTGCACAAGTATATTTGCTAGAAATGAGAACACTCGCATCTTTTTGGAGCTCAGAAAGTAGTAACTCAGAACTTCTGAATAGTTATTTGTGTTTTCCTTTTAACTTTAAGTAATGCTTGTAGTGTAGTCTATATACATTGAAAAAAGTAGTATTTTGTTCAAAGATATTCACATCACAAGTAGATAGGGCAACTCTTACATGTATACTACTCATCTACTACAGTTCACTGAATCTCGCAACCGAAGGATGATTGTTAAGGCAATAAGGTGAAGACAAATAAAGGCTAAGATATCATGGAATAATTGCATACCTCAGGTTCATGGCTTTGAAATTCTGTCTTGTACCGGAACTCTGGATGCCGACTAACAGGATAGTCTGTCCTCTCCAACTCTCTTCGACTTCCAACAAGCTTTAAAATTTATTTGTCGGAGAAACAAAGCAGTGAGTAAATCACTCAATTTAAAATAAATAAATAAATAATCTGCTCAAATTTTTCAAACGTACCTCCTTTGTATCAGTCCTTTCAAATAATACCACTCTACCCCCACGGTCACCAGTAGCAAGATGGTCGCCAGTTTTATCAAACTCAATGGCAGAAATGATATCAACTGCAAATCAATAAAGAGCAAACATATTAGGATTTCCCATTAAATGAAGTTGCTAGAAATATAAATGCAGGAACATAATTTATGATTTCAAAACATTATCAGAAACAGAACAATATTATAATACTGTAGATTATGTGAGATAAAAAATCAAATTTGATGATATGTTGAAATAGCCTACATTGATGAAATTCAATTGTTTTAAAACAGAATGTAATTTCCATAATCTGAGTGCTTGTTTATCCCCAACTTAAGTTACATGAAATTGTAAAACCTCAACTTTGGAACTTTTTGAGAAAGGAGTTTTCCTATTATCTAATTCTCAAAGGCATTTTTATTTTTAGTTTGTGGCCTAACTCATGCTTTTTGGAGTAGATGAACTCCAAAACAAGCTAGGCAAAACACACAGTATGGCAATAAGATACTGACGCTTTTTCTTGTGAGTACCTCTATCATTTGCAAGTCACCTAGTTAAAACAATAGGATAAGTTTAAGTAGCATACAAATCATGCATAAAGGATGCCATCATTTTGAACTTTTCCAGGGTTTAGGCACAGAGCCGTGTATGTCTTGATATTCTGTCCTTATCTATTTCACATCATTTCAGGGAAAGGTTATGGAACTCAAAAGTTGTCACCCAACACTTCTCACAATCTCAAAAAGTTAATTACAAGAATCTGTAAGAATGTCTGCATCTGTGAGTTGTATAATAATTGATGCCTTATAGTAATGAACTAACCAATCAAACGGTCACATTGTAATCTAACATGTCAGTGATGTCACTCAATCTTGAAAAGCTAACTACACAAACTCATAAGAATGTCTGCACGCAATGTCATGCACCGATTCGAACCAACCAACCCCAAGGTCACATCAGAGCCATCACCTCTTCAGTTCAGAATTTACACCATCATAATTTATGTTATTAGTAAGAGGTATGCAAGAAGTTGAGCAATGAACCATCCACATTAATATTGAAGTCAGCAGTAACCACCAGCTGACATGCGTTATTTGCTTTTAAATAGCAAAAGCACATCTATGTCTAGCTCCAACGATGGAGACCTAATAAAAAGACTCTTTTCAAGCATGACAAAGGCAACCATAGAGATCTGGACGGAAATCCAAAAATCTCAAATATCATTACAACCACATAAGATGATGAAAAAACACACCGAGCTAACTCTAAACTCGATTCCCTTCAGTTCTAAAGAGTTGATGTATCTTTAGATTGATCAAAGTCCACATGCAAATCACTCAATTTAAATGAACACTAAAAATCCAACTTGAGAATTAATGAACTAAGCATTTTCTGAAATTATCGAGCAGAGAGCAGATCAAAAACACGAATAACAAGCCCTAATCAACACACTGACACCAAACAGACTACGGATCGGAAGGCAGCAGAGCAGAGATTCAGAGCTCAAAAAGATAATACCTTCCTGAACTTCCTCGCCTGCCGTACGTTCACCAAACACCTGAGAAAATTTCCACTCGAGAGGCTGCGGTGGTCCCCCCGGAACTGACGCCGAACCATCTTCCCCACCTCCTGCGCCACCATCACCACCGCTTTTCATCGCCTCCCTCAAAATCAAACGCGGAAAGAGCAAAACTCCAGCGCAAAATCGAAATCGGGAAATATATTGAGAGGCAAAGCTGATAGCACGTTAATCTCACTTCATACGAGAAAACAAAATTAAAAAGCTAAATCGTCTTGGGAGGGGTTGTCTGCTTCATCAAAAAAATAATGTCGGATTTGGATTCAACCATTACGAGTCCAAAACATCAACAACGACACATGGCCTTTCAACACCAGATTGAGATTCTCTTCGTTTCTCTCTCTACTCTCTCTCTCTCTCTCTCTAGAGTCGAATAGGGGCGAGGACAAAAATGGAAATCTGAAGTCGAGCTAAGCAAACCGTTCTTTGCCCCAAGCCCAGTGTTCTCTCTCCTCTCTTAGCTCTATCACTCCCCTTACTTTTTAATTTTGATAACTTCACCGCACCTATTATTCACCCCGTCTTTACATCATACCAAACATTATTTTACTCTCGTCATGAAATTAGATCATTGTGTTCTCCAAAAAAAAAAAAAAAACATTGCCGTGTTTGATTAGTCGGTTATGGAAACCAGTGCAAGGCTAGTGAGATTAGTAGGAAATTAGTAAAATAGGCACTGTATAATTGTATAAATTATTTCATTTCTCTCATTTTAAATGTGACTTGATTATCAATTACCTTGTGGTCTAGTGACACGAAATGTCTTTTTCAAATGGGAAATCATGAGTTGAGCCTTGGTGATAACAATATTAATTATTTGTGCTTCAGTAGGTTGAGAATACTCCGGAAAAAAAAAATAACTCGATTAATTGTAACTTAGTTTAAATTTTGTATACTTTTAAAATATTATTTAAATTAGTATAAATCCTCTCTCATATAAAAACTTAATATGATCAGCACTTTATCTCTTAATTAAATTGATCCAATAAATTTGAATATGGTACAGATTTAAAGTTATCTTATACAGTTATGGTCTATTCGTCTTCTCATGACTTTGATAAAAAGAAAAAAAGTAATGAATTGTACGAAATGCATTAGTAAAATATGTCATTTGTGTGTGTACACGATCGGGTTTGGAAGGAGGAAAGAATACAAAAGGTGAGGTGGTGGGAAATGACACTTTTGCCCTTTTCTTCTTATCCTTACTTTTGTGCTCTAGATTTGTTAAGTACATGTGATTATAGTATTCATTATTGCTGTCCTTCTATATTGTATTGCTCCACCTAGGATGAGGTTTTATATATATACACACAGTCACACACGCATAGTAAGATTTTATTGAATACAAAACAAATGTGAATACAATTTGTAATCAATTATTATTTTCGAATTAATAATAGCAGGTTACGTCAATATTGAATAAAATGTAATGACATATGTATATTATTTTCTTTCTTTTTTTTTTATTGAGAGGCGATTGAGGTGGGATTTTTATAATTTAATTTATTAGTCTAAGAAAATTTTGTATATTATTATGATGTGCATATTAATTTTATCGTATTTTGCACTCTAATCTTAAAATTTTTGATCGCTTTTACTCTTAAAATTTGGTAGAGGATGTTACAATGATGTTCACAGTCTTATTTACCGATCCTCATAGCTAGCTTATGTAATATTGTATATTTATGTTAGTAGCACAGAATGTCGTTTTTTTTTTTTTTTTTTTTTTTTGCATGTTACATGTTAATTTTCCTAGTTAATAATTGTAATTTAATTTATGTCAAATCATGTGTATGCATGTCTAAGGTACATACTAGCACATTATATACACGAAGTACAACATTAATGTGTGATTGTTTGGGTTCCCTAGCTTGGGGCACATTTTGTTGTATATTAACATTAATGCGGATTCTCTTTTATACCCACAAAAGGGGTTCGCTACTGGAGCTACACATCTCAGCCTAATTAAATCACAGTGACTCAACTATTCATTAAGTCAAATGATCAATGCCCAACAAGGAGTCCACCACATTATTAAGTGTAACTCACACCTGTAATTGTTAATGTTTGATCTTGTATATCTACTCACAATATTCTATACATAAATCAATTGAACTACCCGTAAGTCTCGCATTCTATTTTATAATACAACACTAGTATCTTTATCATTATGAAACTAATTCGAAGTATACTTGGATCATGCACTATTTACAATAGTCTAAATTATGAGTTGCACAAATGATGACTTTATTCACTACTTGCTCTTGGATGTTGGCTATGTTTCTTTAAATCTTTGCATAGTGGAATCCTTTGAATGCAAAACATGAAATTTCTTGCCCCAATGATTTTTTTGGGATTGTGGAAGAGTTAAATTCTCTTTATATAGGAAGACCTATGCATGGTGCTTACAAGAAGTTACCCTCATAAGATGATGAAACTTGCACACTGCAGCTATTAAGATTTTGCATTATTAGATGCAATACCTACGTAACGTAATTCTTTCTTTACTTATTGTAGACGTAATTGATGTAACTTTGCCACGGTTTATTTATTTCTTTTAAGATTATTTTATTATTTTGCTTGTCAAATAAGAAATTAAAAAGAAACCAACATTTCAACATTGCTTAGTTATATTTTATTTATATATATTTTTGGTTGGTTGCTAATATAATCCAATGAGTCGTCGGTATTTAAATGAAACAAACGTCGCATGACCAATAGTTATGCTGTGCAACCGAATGTACTATGCGCATGGTGCATACGATGCAAAACGACGTCGTTTTGACTAAAAACGCGCGTTCCACTTTAAAAAAAAAAAAAAAAATCATGTTCGATTCTCGGCAATAGCATTATTGTGGATATATAGTTATGAATTTCTGGATATATAGTTATAAATTTGTGGATATATAGTTATGAATTTATGGATATTTAGTTCATTCATTATGGATATTTAGTTCATTCATTGTAGATATTTACTTCATTCATTCACTGTGGATATATAGTTTTGAATTTATGGATATATAGTTATGAATTTCTGGATATATAGTTATGAATTTATGGATATTTAGTTCATTCATTGTGGATATTTAGTTCAATCATTATGGATATTTAGTTCATTCATTGTGGATATTTAGTTCATTCATTATGGATATTTAGTTCATTCATTGTGGATATTTAGTTCATTCATTGTGGATTTTTACTTCATTCATTCATTCATTGTGGATTTTTACTTTATTCATTCACTGTGGATATATAGTTATGAATTTGTGGATATATAGTTATGAATTTCTGGATATATAGTTATGAATTTCTGAATATATAAAAATACTATTGCCGAGAATCGAACCTGATTTCTTCTCTAAGTGGGACGCGCGTTTTTTTTAACCAAAACGGCGCCGTTTTGCAACCGTATGCACCTTGCAAGGTGCATTCGGTTGCACAACATAAGCATTCGGTTGCACAGCATAATTTGCGTCGCATGACGGCATGAACCTAAAATATTCAAAAGTCAAACATCAGCCCAACCAAAACATAGTTTTCATGTTTGGGCCAACCTATTAACCCATTTTATCAATCATGGGCTACCCACTAACTCGTGGATCTGGTTATATTTTGAAGGCCCATAACTTTGTAGTTACACTTGAACTCCATTTCATTTTTTTCTTTTTGAGAGGAAAGGAAGTGATATATTATTGATCAACCAAAGATGAAATATAGGTCGGTGGCGTAGAGAACCACGAATCTAAGGCAAATATAGAATCAGAAGCCCGTGCTAGCACATGAGCCAAATGATACGCTGACCTATAACCAACAATAACCAACACCACAACACCATTTTTTGAACTCCATTTCCTAAACTCATGGATCAGTTTGAAAATGATACTACGATTTCATGACGTATTTGGACCACTCTAATCTCTCAAATCTCGTACATCCGTTATTCCTAACAATGATTCTCGTGATCATTTGATTAGATTTTATACAAGACTAGACTTGTTCTATCAGACATTCAAAATGTGTTTTGTCACAATGAACAAACTTGAAACCTTATTGTTTCTAAGTCATTTGATTAATCAACCTCGCTTGATTGCCACCGATTTTTCTTCTAATTGTTATCTGTCATGCTTGATGCTTCACTAGGTTTATGACAGGATATGCTTTTTCTTTTCAACCTTTTCCCCCTATTTTCATACTTTATGTCTATGAAAAGGCAAAAGGAGATAACACAACTTTAGGTTTGGATCAGCCCAATGCAATGTCTATGCCAATGGCATCTTCACATGGCTGCCATTTAAAAAATAAAAAATAAAAGGAATAAGGTTCAAATTGGCCACTGAACGTAACTTGAAAATGCAATTAGGCCACTGAACGAACAAAAAGTGCAATTAGGCCACTGAACACTCCAAAAACGTGCAATTAGGCCACTGAACTCTCCAAACGTATGCAATTTCACCGGATAGCAGGTTACCATCAATTTTAGCAGGTTACCTGCTTACGTGGCAGCTGAGTTGACATTTTTAATAATTTTTAAATAATTTTTAATAATTAATTTTAATAATAAATTTTATAAAAAATTGAAAAAAAAATTAAATAAAAAAATAAAATAAAGTCATTTTTATTTTTTAAAAATTTTTTAAAATAAAAATTTAAATAAAAAAATAAAATAAAGTCATTTTTATTTTTTTAAAATTTTTTAAAATAAAAATTTATTATTAAAATTTATTAAAAATGATTTAAAATTTATTAAAAATGCCAACTCAGTTGCCACGTAAGCAGATAACCTGCTAAATTTGAGGGTAACCTGCTATCAGGTGAAATTGCACATTTTTGGAGTGTTCAGTGGCCTAATTGCACTTTTTTTTCGTTCAGTGGCCTAATTGCATTTTCAAGTTACGTTCAGTGGCCAATTTGAACCTTATTCCAAAATAAAATAATAAATTATAAACATAACTTTTACATTTTTAAACTTAATACTTTATTCCTTTTATTTTTTAATTTTTTTTGCCACATCTTATAAAATATCACACTCCAAAATATTAAAGTACTTACAAATATTTCACAGATCAAACACCTTATAGGGTTATACAATAAGTCTATCGAAACTATTACTCAAGTGTCGCCTACCTTTGTGTTCTTCTTGGTCTAGTGGTCGAAAAAATTGATCGTTAAGACTAGACACTGATATTACTATGTCAATTACGTTGTCATTGGTCAATACATCACGTCAATAGTTGATACGTGTCACGATCAACCTAAGCATCTAGTCACACGTTGCCACGTTGGATGCGTTACTGATTTTTACATTGTGTTCCTAACTTAATTAGCTATGTAAACTTTCACCAGTTTGTTAGAGACCCAATTCTTCATGCATATTCCTTTTATTATTACCAATTATGGTGGAACCTTACAAGCTCCCATTCTAAATTAGTGCATTATTACTAACCCATATGCTAAAATCCACATGACAA